GTTAGTCTCATTTGGAACGATCAAATAATACTGGATATAATAATAGTATTTAGAGAAGAGGGTAGCCAGGGTGGTCGAATTTAGCATACACGGATCTCGGAACAATAGTGATCGCAGATAAGCTTGGCCAGTGGAATGGCTAGCTCTCGGCCTCGTCGGAAGCGTCCTTGGGTTCTTTCACTGGTCTAAGCTACCGTTTGTTCGATATCCTGGTTTAGCGTTGAGTGGTTGCGGATGCTTAGCGGCCCTTTCTTCTGGTTGCAGAAGACGGTTCCGCTTAGCTCTCCAAATCATCACGATGTACCTAGCACTTTGAGTACCAAGAATCACCCTCTGTTAATGGGCCCCCAGAGTGTGAAGAGCCGGCGTCAAAGTAGAGAGTCGAGAGGCGTCGAGAATAGAGGTAGCATCGCGATGCAGGTCAAGATGTAGCTTCCGCTATTCACCCTCGTAATAATATCGAAGGAGTCGGCTACGAGAAAAATTTTTCTTCCCCTCTTCCCTTTGAAGGGTATGGATACGTCCAATTGATCTAAGATGTAAGGGAAGATGGAGATGGTCTTGTCCAACGACATTCAGATGCAACACCCAACCCACTTAATACCCTCCAAAAACCGCAGAGATATGCACATAGAAATGATGAAAGTTTTGTGGGTTCTCTCCGGACTCAGTGTTTTTTTCTTCTTTTTTGGTTTCTTTTTCCATCGCTACCCACGGGATCTGATTGAAGGAAGGATTTCTCGGACTTCACAGGGAGTTTCTCGGGCTCTACTTGATGTGCGCGTAGATGCTTGAAGGATGCGAACGGCCTCTCCTTGGCCCTTGGCGCCTGCCCTTTACAAGTATTCGCCATGGTGTGCAGCTCCGAGGGTCTCCAGATGCAGCGGGTGGGACTGATCCGTCGTCGGGGCACGATGCCACCGACCGTTGGTTGGTAGACGCATTTACAAGCCAAGAAGCAGCTTGGATCGATCCAGATTCCGTTGGTCAAATTACTCTCGTACCCTCGTGCTGGCCAACACTCGTCGAATACCGTAGTTGGAGCCGCATATTGTGCGACTTGAACGAAGTGTGTAAATTGGTTGTATGCATTCCCTGATATCCTAGCTCGGTGAAACCTGTCCATGGGACTCGAGGTGTGGATGGAACCTTGACATGGTCGTGCACTTTGAAGACGCCATTTCCATCGTTATTTCACTCGCTACAGGGCTCGCTGAGAGACTTCAAGACACTTCAATGGATCGTTGACCGGTGCCGCGACTCACAACCATCAAGTACATCATTGATATGTTGCTTTCCTTTCCTGTGCGAGGCTCAACCCTGAAGGTGCGGTGTTACTTTCTCATCACATACGCGGCGTACTGGGTTAGAAATCAACGATACTGACATCTAGCCTCGCGCTCGATCAAACACCTGGTGACTTTGATAAGAGCGCGCGCATGCATCTTTCGTAGTTGGGTGCAATATGGAGATGCGAACATTCGAGATTAACACTATCGGGGATTATGGCTCACTTACTCTCCGTCAACCCGCCGGAAGATTAGATTATTGCCAATGTAAAACGCACGCCGCACAACCAACCAAACAGTAATTGAAAGGAGCAGACATTCCTCCAAGCCGGTCAACTAAAGGCCCGTGGCTGAACCGATCAAGACTATAATTAGTGCCCCTACCACGGATCCGTAGTGACTAGGAGCACTGCGTTTTCTGTTGTGATACGGCGCGACGACTTGGTTTGGCTACGATGGGTCTATGGAATGCATGGATCACTGATGGGTCCGGTGCGACGGATCCATTTCATTTCAAGTTCAAGTTCCATCAAAAATCAATTGTGTGCTGATTGATGGTTGATGGGCTCACAGTTAAAAGCGGCAATGGCCTTATTATGGAATGGATTGATGGATGGATCCATTGTAACTGCAAGATGATAGTACTTGTCGAGCGACTATCCGCCACACGGTTGTAGTTAGCATTACTATAGATGCTAGCACCCATCAATCTCTCGTCAGCTTTGAAGGGACGCGCTTGACGAGACTGGATAGATGGCGCTATTTAGAGGAACCGCGTGGATCATCGATTCGGGTTCCATTCACTTTCTCCTTTACCGCCTCCAAGATTTAGCGCGGTTGGTGGTTTCCATCTTCTGCTCTACAAGGTGCCTTTATTCGTCCTTTGCAGTCTCTCCGGAGTCCTAATATCCAAGACATGGCGTCATCGAGGGTATTTGAAGATCCCGTGGGATTGATCAATGGGCCAACCACCCCCAGCCTTTTGGCCCACTTCTCCATTCTAGGACGAATATGGAAGTCCGTCAATCACACCAGCCTGTCACAGCCACCCCGGATATCAAAGTTGGCCCTAAGTTTTCTCTTTTGAGGGCGGAGACGAGTCAAAGGAGACATTATCTGATCCCTTGCGTTCAACCTCGGGCGAGACTGGCAGCTGATGGTGGAGGTGAGACAAAGACGGACGCCGAGTCAAATTCTTAGACGCAGCGTGGCTGTTCTCTCCCTTTTCAGTGTAGATGCCAGGGGAGATGGAGGTTCGGGCTGAGGCCTGTTCAATACTCAAGCCCAGCCACAACCCAAATGATACGTGACCAAGACAGGGCGGGCTCGCTGCAAATGAGGGGTATGAGTGATCTGCGTTCAAGGAGTTCGACCTCCATCTATCGTAGCAAGGGCGTGATAACGCTGCAAAGGACTAAGTTCCTCAGCTCGTTCAAGTTCGAGAATGGCCCCCCTCCCCCATCTCCCATCTAAATCTCCGCCGCATCCTTCATCATCTTGTCTCACTTTCTCAAGGAGCCGGGGGATTCGGGCTTGAGGTTATCCCTTCTCACTTTCAAGCCTCGAATCAAGACAACGCCTTGTATGGAACTACATATATTTTCCCTTCTTGAAAACTTGACTATTCCTCTTTTGAGACTTGGAGGCGGCTAGTTGGCCCACAAAATGCAAGGGTTCCGGCCGCAACCCGAGCTCCACCGCACCTATTTCGGACCAAGGACCCTTCATGCCTTTGATACCGTGCCTTGTGACCCCCTTCTCTGGTGTGCGTCTTCCGATGAACATAGCCCATCTTAGTTCATAGTATGCAGATATCCATTACGTTTCAAGAGCCCCGTCGCCATTCGCGTTTTCCTTCATGCTAGCTTGAGGATCCTGCGTTTGTAGAGGGGAGGGCCAAGAAAGTCCGCGGTAGGTTGGGTGAAATAACTGCCGTTCCGGCCGATGACGGGTCCTGCAGCTCTCAAAGTAAGGGTCCTGAAAATTCAAGGAAAAAGTTGGTTCCGGGCAGCGACATGACGCCAAGCCCAACACGAAAGGGTTCATCATTACCGTCCAACCTGTTACACTGCTTCCCGCCTCGGCCGATATCTCCCTTCACGGGCGAAGATCAACGTCGCACTACCGGAGGCAATGTTGACGATTTTTCCTCAAAGTGAAAAGGGATGTCTCCTACCGTCACCGCTGTTCAAACGGGGAAATGATCTGACTTTTAATAAGGATAGAGGTGTGGGAGGGGTCTAGATCCTCACAGTAGCCAACATTGAACCCTGAAGTGCAGGTTCGCCCGTGTCCAAATTCTTTAACCCTCTCCCCTTTGCCCCTCCTCTTGGGGGTTTCTTCTTTTTCTTGTTCTCTGCACAGCCAACAGCGGCCAGACACGGCCTACCGGCTCATTCTTGAGCTGTGATGACGTTAGATGTCACATTTGGCGGGAGCAAAGGCATCATTAACCCCACGGAATGCGGGTGAAATAGATGCGCTGTGTCAAGCCCCTGAACAGATAATACATATATCTATGGCAACGTGCTCCGAGAACAATCATAGACACTCGGGAAAGGGGTAGGAGAATAAATAAAAACGTCCCTGGATCTATGGAGGGGAGCGACGACGGAAAGAGGAAGTGCAATGCGCTACTTGCTGAGTGATATCGTCATTCCCCCTTCACCTTCTCCTTGGAAGCATAATGCCAAGCAGAGGACGCGCTGTGGGCGTGGGGACTAACAGCCCCTAGCGTGCTTGATGGCTCCTGTCAGTCTGCGCCTCTTGACTGGTGATCATAAGAAATTAGCCCAGTTGGCGTGTGGCGGTGGTGGTTGGTCCTTTCTTTGATCGAGTGGTCCACAGCCGCGCTCCATTACGGAGAATTTTGCCGGCAAGCTGGGCGGAGACCTCATTAGAAAAGGCAGATAACTCGTCACCAATGTCAGCTCCAAACCAGAAGCGAGCGTGTCAGACTGAAAAGGGGCGGCCAACGATATTGATGTCAGAGTTGATGTGAAAGGGAGACTCACCGATGCTCCTTGGTCGCTAGGCCCGAAGGGGAATTCAAAGGGTCATCCTGAATAGGTGCCCTTTCTTCTTCGAGATGCGTGGCGAGATTTTGCATCCTCGCGGAGATGGGACCGGGGATTTTTGTGTGCTATTTCCACAATGAACCGCCGGTTCATTGAAGCGTGGGGAAGACGGAAGCGGCGGGAAGAGATAAGTACCCAGTTAGTACGACCCGGTTCGAAATACACCAGACCGATTGATGGCTGGTGGCATGCCAAAATAATCAACGAGTAGTACCATCCTATCCAGCATGGATCAATGCGAACAGGCTTAATTAGCATGTGTAGACAAGCAATCCATCCGTAGATCCATGGATCTCAATCCCTTCACTGTTAATTATTCCCCGTGACGGAGCCAATGCTCTTGTTGAGCGCAGTCAAGTATCCTCGATGGCTTCATCGTGCATCAATCTGCCATAAAGATACCAATAGCCTTGCACAATCGCCCGTCGGTTTCTTCTAGAAGATCAATCAGGGATCTAGAGATGCCTCGGGCAGAAGAAATCAGTGACCCGTAAGAGCGAATTAGATTGATCTGTTGATGTACTTCTGGGGACACAGGTGCAAGCAACATCATGTGCTGGCTACCATCATTCCTGGTGGCGTAGCAAAGAGAACATTGAAAGAGCCGAGTGAAGCATAGAAATGAGACCAGACCCTAACGGCCGCAGAAAAGAATACGCTGGAGGATTGGGAGCCCAACTTCTTCGTTGGACCTTGGAGGCTCCATGCTTTCATCAACCTGATCCTCAAAGTGAATACGTCTACCGATGTTGAACTCAGAGAATGAGTTGGGAGTAGTAGTTGATATGCTCCCACTGAAGCCATCCACACCCATTCCTGCCAAGACATCCTCTTTTGCGACTCGGCGTCTCCCACACCTCCGCATGACTATGGCCCACACGGTTTCCTTGGAAAAATAGCACTCGTTCTCGTCCATTGGGCCATCTGACCATTCGCTGCCCCCATTCTCCCTTGTGGGGAGCATTATTCGGGGGATTCGGTGGTAATACTAGCAAGCATTTTGAACCGTTCTCGCCCATCCTCTTCCTCTGTAGTGCCTCCCTCTTCTTTAACTATCATTCCTTGCCTTTCTTCTTCTTTTTTGTTTCCCTCTGTCAAGGCGAGAAAGCGTTTTTGCCCCTCACCACTTCCCCGGAAAGTCACGGGTTGCTTTGCAAACAGGGTCGTGATCTGTCATTTAATCCGTTCTACCAAGCGAAAGCCGGGTTTCACTCGTACTATTCTAAATTTGTAGGCAGCTCGTGGGGAGGAAGAGGGAACGAGCGAAATCAAGAGATGGAGATGGAATGGAAAAAAGGGAAGGGAGCTGGATCTGACGCCTATCAAAGGATGCATCGTGTACGAGTCTCGTGGTTGGATTTGCGATGCAGCATCCGTCTGTTACGAGAGGGGCAAAGGATCAGATATCACCAGCATCAATTTACCGTTCATTGCAGCAGGGAGGACTCGATATTACATCATTCGCTCGGTACTAGCCTGTCAATGCCCGTCCCACGGCGATACGCGTCCTGCGCCGTCCTCGAGGGTACCCCGTCCAGTTTCGCGCCGGCGATCCTGGGCCAGCCATATAGTGTAATACAGTGTCCCAGGTTCAAATGCTGCAGAAGTTCAGGGGAGGGGGCTTTTCATGGGCGCTGCGACATCAGCGATTGATCTTTGCCCTTATGCACAGCTGTCCACCGCCCCCATTATTGGCCGACTGCTCGACCCTTTCGGACGAAATCAAAGGATGCCCCTCCAATGTGCATTTTGCGTACAGCTAGACTAGACGTCTGCTTCCAATGAGAGGTGGTGCAATCGGAAGAAGTAAGAGATTGCTCCGATTGTAGGCTTGGCTCAGAGGCAAATGGCAAATGGTCAAACTCGTTAATACAACCCCTGTGGCTGTTCTTTCTTGAGATCCTCCCCGTCTCCTTCGCAGTTTCCCTCCCGCCTCCGACGACTAGGCCAAAGACTGCCTCGACGTGCCATTACCCGGTGACCAACGGCGATTGTCGTAAATCTTGGCTGGCCGTCTTCCGGCTGCCGCTCAAGCGTGGAGCGAGCGCTGGTCAGTATGTAATTGATATCTATTAAGATCGTTGATGTTCTTGATTTGTGGGCCCCACAACTTTGACGCTGACACAGTCGTGAGACCTTCTAAAGATGTCATCACTATCTCTGACATCTCGTGAACAATGCGCGCTTGGAAACCCACTATCGGGCCACGTTGAGGCGTCGAGTGCCCTGTTCGTTTACGCCGCCGTGTGCTAGGCCAGGTCGTCCCATGAGCACGCATCCCAACCTCGTGGGGTCGGGAAAAGGAGACCAAGACCTATTTTGCCCTATTTTCCCACTTTCTGAATGTCTACTTTTGGACTCGAGGAATTATAATCCGCACATGAGGAGGCTGTCCTTTTCGAGCGTCTTGTGAGGGTATCTCGTCTTTTGGGAGGGGTGTCTGGTACCCCCAATGTATGAAAACAGTACCGAGTCGTCTCAACTCCTTTGCACGGAGCAAAGAAGAAGGGCAAGGGAAAGGGCGATGGTATTGCTTGCTCCGTCTTCTTCCGTCCTGTACGCTTTCCTGGCGCGCTACGGTATGTCGTACAGTAGCATAATCTGGACAGTGGTACTGTACTAAAGTACTGCCATGGGTACATCAACCGATGGAGTCAGAGCCCGGTACGTACCTCTATTTCGACACCCCACACACCCCCTGCCGCCAGGGTCCAGGCCTCCTCAAACAAGAGGTACCCCCATTGTTATTATTAAATCAAACGGAGGCCCATCTCTCTTCCCCAAGCCAGAGGAGGAATATCTTCCTCTTCTTGTCATACTCAACCACGCGCACCGAGTCGAACCGATTTTGCAGGAGGGTTGTTGGAATTATCGTCGCCTTTTTTACGGGCTCATCGACAGCGATATTCCACTTGGGTCTCTGGTTTCTTGTTCATTTTATTTTCTTTTGGGAGTTTCATCATTCTTTTTCTCTTCGCCTTCTTCGTTTGCGTCGTTTGTTTTTCTCCTCCCTCAACCCGATCGCCCTGCTCCTCTTTTTTGTTTTCCTCGGCAACCAGCTTCACCTTCGGCCTTCCAAGGTGAACTCGAGAAAGGTGAGTTTCGCATCGCACAAACCAACTGCATATTGATTCTCGTCCCTTTATATCTGTCTTCGCGTTGAACCTCCCTGTCTTTCGCCTTCCGAATCCTCATCGTGCTTCTCTCGTCATCTGCCTTGCTTTGCATTTGCCATATGTCTACTCTCGTTGCCCTCTCTTTCTCTTCCTCTCTTTGTCCCATCGCCTCTTCGTCCTTCGCCGGTGAGAATCGGAACCCAGAGTAGAGCGTTGGGACCGTGGAAATCCTTGATACTGTTGCCTGGCGAGATCGTCCAAAGTTGGCCAGGCAGCCCTGCGTCGATGCAATCGTCGCCCCGTCCCTCCTCTGATCACGTCTGTTATCGAGCTCGACCCTACCCAAGACATCCACAGTGTACCTCTCTCAAACATGTTCCACTCCCCGTTACACTCTCGAATCATAAAGTTTCTGGATGGGGGTCAGTCATGTCAGAAACAAAATTTTCCGACCTCCCTAGCCCCTCCTGCCACAGCCTGTCCAAGTTCGTTGTAGTAAAGTCGCAAAATTGTGCGACGCATCTGCTTGGGGTGGCTTTGCCGCATCAGCAAGGTTAAAGCATGTTTATTTGCAGGCTGGGAACGCTGCTATGTTTGATGGCTTGTCCTCGGCCTTGTTCGGATATCTCAGCTGCAGGCCGCTTTGGGGAGGCCGGCAAAAGCCTTGTGACCCTGATCTGTTCGCACGCACTTTGCCTCTTTACTGTTGCACACTCTTCATTGCCTTTTTTTCTTTTCCCCTCTCTGCTCTTACGAAAAAGAAAAAGAAGAAAACAGAGACCGGAGCTACATTCAGTGCTGACCCGACTTCGTTCTATAGAGTTCCTCGAGCGTCTTGATACGCTCAAACCTCACCCCTTCCGAACTCCGAGAGTGGTGGCGCCTCCTCGCGTGTACTATAGAAACCCCCGAGGCCCCCTTCCTCCCTCCTTCGATACCCATCTCTCCCACCTTTCCGTCACGCCCCTGATGCCCCGTATCCTCTGAACCTACCATGGATTCTGAAGACGGGGAGATATTCATCAAGGTACGTTATCACATCTCGTTGTCTTGACCACCCCTGGGCCTCACAGCTGACTCTTTTCGGCTCTCCACAGCAACTCGCCAGCTTCGTGCGCACCCACGAAAAGGCTTTGGCAAATGCCCTGCAGTTTCGCCGGCAACCTGCCCGCCATGGGCCCTCACATAGCGTAGGCTCGGTCTCTGTGCCAATATCCCCCACAGTACCCGAAAGGCCTTCTACATCCTCCTCTACCTCGAGCACGATTGCTGCAGCCTTATCTTTGGGGCCCTCAACTTGACATCCCAAAGCACAAAATCCGCGAAGCTGTCACTTACCCCGCACCACCTCTTCTACCTACTCTCCCGCTTTGAGGAACTCAAAATCGACGTGGGCTCGATGAAGATTCGTCTTGAGAACCTCCATGACACAAGCACTTCGGCCAACTATGTCTCCTTCTTGAGCAACTCGCAGAGACTAAAGCGTCGAGGATCCGATGTCGGCTCCATCCGATCCGTATCGAGTGTCCGAAGCGTCATGTCCGGTATCTCGACCCTGTGGTCGAGTTTCGGTATCGGGGCCAGTATTTCTGCTGCGCGGGAAGAGAGGCAGAAGGCTGCTCTGCAGATGGACATGAAGTATCTCTACTCTGCATTCACCAAGATTCCCTCCCTCCGACTTGCCCCTGATTGGCGGGCTCGTTTGATTCGCGGTTATGAAGAGTTCCCCTTCGATTCCGCCGTCCCTCTCTATGTCTTCAAAAATCTCCAGGCTCTTGAGGTTAGCGATGTCGACTTCCGCCAGTTCTTTGGCTGGGACCGCCTCGCCGAGCAACTGAGGTCCTTGACCATTAAGCGGGCCAGCCTCGATGACCCTGCTGATATCCTGATCGATATCGTCTTGGATGATATGGACAAGAGACGTCGCCGTACCTCCAAGGCCCAGACCTCGCCCACAAACCCGTGGCCATCACATTCGAGCCCTCGCCGGATACCCACAACCCCCAACAAGAGTCTCAAAAGACTATCTCGGCACCAGCCTCACCCGAGCCGAGACAATCTGTTGGCCACATCCGAGTCAATCCCATGAGTGCGAGCGAAAGCGCGATCGATGAATCTGCCCATTCTCCAGGTACAAGCCAGCCTCTCAAGGACCAAGGCGACACGGATGAAGAGCAGCCCAAATCACCGGCCTCACCATCCTCAAGGCCGCGAAGCTTCTCTCCTGTTCGCCGACCGAACTCACGAAATGCTTCGTCGCACGTACGGGGTCTCACAAGGTGAAGCGGTCCGGCTCCACTAGTTCTCACTCCAGCCTTGGTGATTCATGGCACCACCACATGCGAGGAAGTTCGTCCAACCTGTTGGCCATGGGAATTCTCCCCGCATCCAAGTGGCGCTTTCTGCGACATCTCAGCCTTGCAGATAACGGCTTGACTTCCATTGCGGCAACCAGCCTCAGTCCCCTTTCCAATACCCTCCAATCACTAGACCTTTCATCCAACCTGTTCACCGAGATCCCGGATAGTCTCGCTACACTCACCGCCCTGCGTGCTCTTAATCTTTCTCATTGCATGATTGATTCCCTCCACTCCTTGACACGCAATCCTCTTCCAGCAATCACAGCCCTCAATCTTCGGGGAAACAGGCTCCAGTCCATCGCCGGCATCGAGAAGCTGTACCCCTTGGAGAGGTTGGATCTACGAGAGAACCGCCTTACCGACCCCACGGAGATTGCCCGGCTTACCGGCATCCCTGATATCCGAGAAATCTGGGTTGATGGAAATCCATTTACGCGTACTCACCGAGATTATCGCGTAACCATCTTCAATCTGTTCCGTCAAACTCCCGGCTACACCGAAGACATCATCATTGATGGCATGGGCCCGAGCTACTCCGAAAAACGCTTGTTAGTGGAGCGTGCGCCACTCCCTGCCGTTGTCCCCGTTGTGAAGCCTACGCTCCCGGAGATTCCGGCCGTAGATGTGAGCAAGCCAGCCATTATCTATGATGCCCCACGCGAACCCCATGTCTTGAGGAAAGAGCGCCCAGCATCCAAGATAGTGTCTAGCGAGGTTAGCGTAGCGTCATCGCGAAGACGGAAGGCCCCTAAGAGACGCATCGTTGACTTGGCTGTATCAGAGCCGACGCCAAGCGTGCAGCCACAACAGACTCTTCAGTGCACTCCCTTGAAGAAGACGACGGTTATAATCGGAAGCCCGGAAGCAGCGGGTAACTTGACAGAATCAAGCGTTACCGAAGTAGAGACTCCTCCTTCAGAAACACCTCTCTTGGCCGCACCCTTTCTCGCGAAAGGTCAGGAGATGGGCGTTAGTCTACAGGGAACGCGCGAGCCTCAGCGAATCAACACTAAACTAGATTCCCAGCCCGCCCCAGCCTTCACTCCCCACCTGAGAGCAAGACAGCCACCTGGTCGGACTCCAAGGAATGGGATAGCGGCGAGATGTATCGTCGCAAAATTGAGGCCTTGCGTGACAAAGTTGGCAATGGATATCTTAGTGTCTTGAGCGAAGAGTCTTGGGGGACAATACCCTCACTCCCGATTACTCTGGCAAGCCATACAACCCCGCCCTTCATAGCGCCGCGGCCTCGGTCATGGATAGCCACCACCACCCCCGTGGCCTTCATCATCACTCAATGGCACCACCTCCTCCACCGCAAGCAATCCACAGTGGCCGAACCCTAGGTTAATCAGAGTCACCACCTTCACATTCCCGCGTCTTTCCTGGCAAGGATTGAATCGGGCCCCACATTGTTTTGTTTTGGCATCTAGGACACATGATACCCTTGTGATACCCGTCCTTTCCCACCCTTTTGCGCCAAACCCGTCGTCGCTGTCCCTCTCCTAGGTAGACATGCGGCGAACTGCCCTTTAGGCATCATGCCTACCCCGCTAACTTCCCGACATCGACTTTTCGCGTCTTTATTTTCACTCTTGTTCTTATATCTACTTATTTCTATTTCCTCTTTGGCATCATTCGAGCATAGCGTAACCGGAGTTGGCATATTGGACCTTGGCGCCTTATTTTTCTCTCTGCTTTTCACCATCTTTTTCGCTTTCGATACACTCTCCCACTCCCTCTCCAACATGTTGCCGGAACAATACCGGCTGACGCGCGCCAACTTACTTGAGAGTTTCACCATCGAAATACCTCTTATGGAAGATGCAGGAGGGCGAGGACAGTTTTTGCACACACTATGCATATGGCATTCTCTATTATAGAGTACTTGCATGTTTTCATTTCATCCCATAGACCTTGGTTCTATTCTACCCTGTCTATTCTCATATCTTGAGACCGTGTGTCGAGAAATTGCTTGAAACGGGGCGAATGTTGCCCTTTGCAAGAGAGTTTACAGTTTGTTTGTTCCCTACCGAGCTAGCTTTGTGTTCTTTGCCGCGATGTTTCCATTTTTTGGCGTCTCATCAGGTATTCCCACCAGGGGAGGTCAGCATCCTGGAGGGTGGCTAGGTGAATTGAACTGTTGTCCCCTTTTCTCCTATGGTTTTCCTTCCTCTTTTTCCCTGTCAACGTTGCAGACTTACTTACGGTGTGGCCTTTTTGAAGTTGCGGAAGAGCAAAAGTTTATCCCTTTTTTCATAGTCTTGCTAGTTCTTGTTAGTTTCCTCGTGTTGATCAGCTCTCTCCGCATGCTTTTTCTCCCAGGTTTCACTTCGTTTGCAGAGACGCCTCGATGAGGACTGGTTCTAATATATCTCTCATTCCTTCTTCTTAAGACCTGCGATGTTGCCATATACGTAGATAATGTGATGTGAGAATCCATACCCGCGCGGCCAGTCTTGGCGAGGCGATGAATAGCGAATGCAGTATTCATGCATCCGCCATGAAGACAAAATAGCACGGTCACCATATCTAACTCCAGGTCCCACACACTGTTCCCCATTCCAGCGTGCCCCTACACCAATAGCACAAGAGAACCGCAAGAGGTCGTCCGATGCTCGCAGAAGTGCCTTCAGCAATAAATTATCCATAAGCCACACAGCTCCTCTCCTTGACAACTAGTGTGTTTCGATTTAAACTAGGCTCCCAGGCTCCCCGGCATCGGTCAAGCTACCAATGCAAATTTACATGCTTGTCGATCAAGTAGTATACTGCCGTTGATCTGGGCGGGGATTAGAGGAAAAGAGTCAAAGAGAAGTGAATGAAAAGAAGAAAGAGAGAGCGAGGTTGCATTGGAGCAAATCGCCCATTCCTTTCTTACATTGGGTCAGAAAAATATGAACCGAAAAACAAAGATAGGAATTACGAAATAACCAGCCCTTTCTTCTATATATATATATCTCATAGACTGCCAAGCCAAGGAGTTTAAAAAGAAAGAAAAAAATGAAGCTTATTGCTCCCATACCAGGAATCGAACCAGGGTCTACGCTGCACTCGAAGATGAGAGAGCGTTATGCTAACCACTACACCATATGGGATTTGTTGTGATTGTTGGGGAGGGAGGGGTCAAGGGATTCTAAATAGCTCTTGTTGATTTTGACCAATCAAAAGCGGCCAAGTTCATGCCTCAGACGCCTCAGATGCCTCATTCCAATGACTAATGATAATGAATCGCCACATGCGGCTCTGTCCAGGTCTGTGCGCTCACGACCTCACGCGTCCTCGCCCCTGCGAAAAACAGACCCCTACCATTGTTCGGCGCATTCCACCAGCCTCGACGGCTTCCTCTCCGCCCAAACTATCGATTCTCTCCAATGCAATCGCGATAGCCCTCTATACAGACCGTCATCGATGCATATTACCATCTTCGGGAGCCGTACTGGGTCTGGTTACCGCCTATTGACGCGGTGATTCAACCCGTATTCAGAAGCCCCCAACAACCGCCTCTCGTAGCAACTCCTTCCCCACTTCCTCCATCGCAGGCGGCGTGTTGCAGTACCTTTATCCTCACCATTGCCCACGAAACGGGTGCGTCCATGATGGCGCCAAAAACGCCAACGCCTCGTCGGACGCCCACGGGCAGGCGCCGCGGTCGCCCCCAGGAACCACCAACGCCGTTCGCGCCGCTCGACAGCCTACGGTGCCTGCCTCTGCCGCGACCGAGCCACCCCTAAGAAGCGACGATATATACCTGGTGGTGCTGGGGGTGGTGGCAGGTTTGTCGACGCTGATGATGTCGAGACTCCCGCTCCCGCAAGGACGCCAAGCGGCGCGAGGCACCGTGCGACAAACTCTGGAACCGGCGCAAATGCACCATCGCCCTACCCAAAGAGAGAGCGCAGCACAAGGATCCGATCCACATCGAATCCCGCGAATATCGAAGACATGAGATTTAGCTCCGCCGCAGCCGTTGCTGCCGCTGTGGTACAGAATGAGGGATACAAGCCTCGCGAGGAGCGCGGCTGGGAGGAGTTCCATCCGAACCTTGATATCGACGCGACATTTATGGTTTTCAACGCAGAGGATGTTGATGGCATTGCTCCTGTACAGGCCACGCCAGTTTCCAAGGAGCCTGTGACGCCTGCTTCAACGTCAACACACCCGCCTCTGACCATGAACGGCGTAAACCTCGACTTGGACCGCCAGCTAGCCGCTTCCTTAGGTCTTGTGCCCGGCACGACACCAAAACGTCGGGTGGGCCGCCCGCCTCGGGATCCCCTAGCATTTTACGCTGCCCGGGTCGCTGAAGGACTTGGCATTCCCAAAACCCCTGCCGTCTTGCCTATCTTTAATCAAACACCCAAAGAGCGCCTCGATCTCAAGAAACCACAGTACCGCAAGACGGACCGTATCCTCCTCTTTGAGAGCAAAAAGTTCGGCCAAGCCCGTTACGTGGATAAATCCATGATGAATATCGGATATCAAGAAAGCGACGTCTACATGCGCCCCGAGAACAGACTGATCAAGGCTGGCGATTCCCTCGTCGATGACGAAGGCGATCAGTCAGGTCCTCTCACCACGAAAGGCGGTCGTAGCGAAATCAGCCAGTCGATGGGAGGGCTTCTTGGCCGTGTGGAGTACGACATGGATGAGCAAGACGACATGTGGCTGGTAGCTCTCAACGCCGAGCGCCGGAAGAATGATCTTGAGCCCATCACGAGAGAAGTGTTCGAAATCACCATCACTAAGATTGAAAAGGAATGGCACGCTCTCGAGAAACGTATCCCTAAGCCCAACCCCAAACCTCCCCAGACCCATCGTCCTCGTTCTAGTTCCGCGGCCGCTGTCAACGGCGAGCCTCTAGTGGGAGAGGACCAAGATAGCAGATGTGCGATTTGCGACGATGGTGATTGTGAGAATACAAATGCAATTGTCTTCTGCGACGGTTGTGATCTTGCCGTCCATCAAGAATGCTATGGCGTGCCGTTCATCCCGGAGGGCCAGTGGCTCTGTAGGAAGTGCCAGCTTATCGGGCGGGGCGTTCCGGTATGTCCCCCTTCTCCCTCCTCCGGGCTTCTTTTCCCTTTGACATCCTTAACACGATACTAACTATGTGCCTTTTAGACATGCATTTTTTGTCCCAATACCGACGGAGCCTTCAAGCAAACTAACTCATCTAAATGGGCGCATTTGTTGTGTGCCATGTGGATCCCCGAGGTCTCCTCGGAAATCACACCTTCATGGAACCAGTAATGGAAGTTGAGAAGGTGCCTAGGACCCGCTGGAAACTCACCTGCTACATCTGTAACCAGAAGATGGGCGCCTGCATTCAATGCGGCAACAAGTCTTGCTATCAAGCCTTCCATGTCACTTGCGCCAGAAGAGCAAGGTTATATCTTAAAATGAAGAACAGCCATGGCGCCCTAGCGGTTTTGGACGGCGCTACAGTTCTCAAGGCGTTTTGCGATAAGCATTGTCCAAGTGACTACGCCACTGAAGCCGCAGTCGCGCAGTTCACGCGGCAAGCTAAAAAGTTTTACAAGAAGAACATGAAGGGCCTGGTGTGGGCTGACACCCAAGCAGCAGCCAGTGCACTGGCGGCTACTCATCGCCACGCTATCACAGAACACCCACCTGACGAGTCGCAGCTGACTGGGGCCAAGTTACTGGGGGCCGGTGGCGATAAGAAAAAGAGCTTACCCGCAAAACCCGTCTGGAAATTACCATCTGGGGCCCCTATTATTCCACAGGCCGTCTTCGACACAGTCGAGACGTCACTACAACGCTTTACTTTCCGGAAACGAAAAGAGTTCGTGGCCGAGGCTTGCAAGTTCTGGACTTTGAAGCGAGAATCAAGGCGGGGAGCTGCCTTGTTGAAACGACTCCAGCTTCAGATGGAAACCTTTTCATCAGTAGAATTGACAAGGCGCAATTTCGCCGCGATGGGGCCAGGCGGCAAGGCACGCCTAGCTCGCAGGGTCCAGTTTGCCGGCACTCTTCTTCAAGATCTCGAACGGCTCAAGAGCCTTTCTGAAGACATTATTCAGCGTGAGCTGGATAAGCTGGATGCTTGCGAGCTTGAACAAGAGTTCGTTGATACATGCTACTTCCCCGTTGCGGCACATCTTGCCCCGGTTATCGATAAGGCCTTGTCGTAAGTGCAACCAACCTTCCCCCTCGCTGTAACATCCACCGCAGCACTAACTCGAATGACTTTAGGCTTGACAAAAACATTTTCAAGACCGGACTTGACAAGCTTCAGATGAGGGTAAACGAGCGTTTCTACACAACGACTCTTGACTTTGCCCGCGATCTTTGCGATGTGCTTCGCGAAGGCATTAATGCCGAACCTGACTCTACCTTTGTCTCCGGCAAGCCCGAGCAGACACCCAACGCAGTCAACGGTAATGTATCGAAGCAGACCTATAACGAACCCAGGGATCGCAAGAGACTAGGCAAGCGTATCCTCAAGGCTGTCCAACCACAGCTAGATATGGCTCTCGAAGCTGAGGCCACTGTCACCTCGAAGCCCCTTGCCACCCTCGCCAAGGAAGTCAACAGCATGCTAGAAGCGTGTGTTGAACTGCAGCAGCCCTCCATAACGGTCTCGGGGGCATCTTTAGACGATATGGACGAGGTTGAAGACGTTGTCATGGTGGATGCTCCCGGTTCACAAATCACCGTCGCCAGCCAACCTGCCGTTTCTCCGGCGGCAAAATCGCGTCGCGCTGCGGAGTCAGATGCCATGGACACATCTGAGGATGGCGACCAAATCACTAGGAGCAATGAGGATGATGCTGCGGGGTTGACCAAAGCGGAAATCACGGTCCCTTCCCCGAAAGCCATAAAGCCGACCGTCAAGACGCTTCGGGTCCTCATAGGAACGGTATTGACGATAAAGATACGCCGCCCGCGACAAATGGCTACATTGCCATCCCGAAACCAGCGCAAGCAACTCCTCCCACCCCACCCCAGTCCACTGACAGCCTTGGGAAGGAGTCGGTAGACCCGTTGACCGAAGGAGGTATTCCATGGTATTTGAAGCAGTTCCACATTGTTGGTACAAGTGCCGTAGAGCCGGAATCAGTGGCACCTACCGAAGCACGTAGCCCGAGCGAGGAATTGACTGATATTGACGACGACGAGCTTACGGAGCTGGCCATCGATATAGAGGCTGACACAATCACCGCTTCGCCAACGACCGCCCCAGTGCTTGGAAAGGCCTCTACTCCGTCCAAGACCAAAGTTGGCTCCAGTCCAATTAGGAAACGGACTAGGGCATCCGCCCGGAAGCGGTAGTCCGAAAGCAAGATGAGGCTACATACCTCCTTCCATATTCCATTTCCACAACGTCCACCTACTTTTCTCCAATATCTCTTCTCCTCCTCCGTACCCGGCAAACGGTGTTCTAAGTGGGCGAAGAGTCGAGATGTCTCCAAGGATGCATCTTCAGCCACCGCCTCCTTGTTTTGTTCTTTCTTACTTCTTCTTCCCTTCTTGATCATGTTATTTTTAGGGGTGGAAGAGTTATCCTCTTTTTCTTCATTTCTACTTGACTTACCCAATGTAACATGGATGCGAGCTTGTGGATGGCTGTATGAATACGAGGCCTGCTTTTTCGGACTGTTTTAGTGTGGCTTCTCTTCTTTTTTTTTTTTTGTTATTTCTTCTCTTCCCTTATTTTCCCTCTCCCTGGCGCATCCATCTCTACGCGGATTGAGATTTCTACTCTCCCCGTCCCCCATGTTCCTTTTCCCTTGCCTCCTTGCTAAAAGGATTGGAGAGGGTGACACGTGGGTTTGACTTGACCTGTTGCTGTTCGTTCTCGTTGTTTTGATTTTTTCCCGCGCCTGCGTCTTTGTTCCTGTAGAGATGGATCTTTCTCCTAGTCCTGTTTGTCGAGCACCGGAAAATAGGCGTTTTGGAGGAGTTTCTAGGCACGTAATGGGAGGGAAGGGCCACTATTCACGATGTACCTGTCTATCTCGAGTTGTCTTTGGAGCGAATAGCATGCAAAATGTTTTATCTTACTTTTTAGTAGCTGCTTTCCCTTTGAAAGTTTATCCCTTGCCGAACTTTGTAAAATGCGAGATATCCGTCTTTCCATTTCCGCAGCCTTTGGACCAAGTACTTGAAACGTAAAGAGAAGACACAACACCGCACTGATACCTTGATGTAACCCACGTATTCGAAAGTGTCGGTGGTATCAGCAACACAAACACAGAGAACCCTTACAAACAAAACAAACGGGCTAAGGAAGAAGCGCATAGGGGCAATTAGACACAAGTCGCGTTGACACAAGCGACGCGCGGGGAAGGCTAAAACAGCCGGGAGAACTGCCTCTCCGATGTCAAGACTGGTGGGAGAGTCTAATTCTACAGGGCTGCCGGCGGGCGGTTATACGCCTCGCGAAGCCGTCGTGTTTTGAGTGGCCAAAGGAGAGTCAATCCCGACCTCTTACAGGTTGTCTTTAAAGATTATTTATTCCCCGCCTCATCACTTCTTCCTTAATTCAAGCCGGTTCCTTCTGGGCCTGGCCCAGGTGGTCTCCACGGGGACTACCGAAACATACTTTACAAGTGACAGGCAAAAATGTATCTCAAGCGCAGACACCCTTGTTCCGAGGCCTAACCTTGGCACTTTGAATAATGGCAGGGGGTGTCTTCCGCTGCAACGAATGCGACTCGAGGTTGGTGGTCGGCTCTATGCCGGGTGGTGGTGTGGAAATAGAGGGGTGCTCTCGAAGGACGCAGCCGCGCATCTTCAAGGTTCGTTCCTGATTTGTGTCAGGTGATATATCCCAAAATAACCCCTCCAGGCTCCGACTCGGGAGCGCACCGCCAAATAACAAAAGAGAGTTTTTTTATTCATGAGCAGGGCCTAAGCGAAGTGAGCGGGAGACCTTTTTAGCGGTGGCTTGAAACTCCCCTCCTTCGCTTTCCGTGGCGCGATGAACGAGGAGACGCCTCAAGGAGGGGGTAGCGGAGTCGGCGGTGGAAAGGTGATTGTCCGACTAAATCACTGCAGCTAGCAAGGTACGAAAGGGGATTGACTTCGACACTAGGAAAAATACGACGCCCGGTTTGCGGATAAACGGAGGGAAGAGGGAAAGAGGAGGGCCATTTCCGGCGAGGAGTTAGACGGCATAGCAATAATGGTGGAAAGATCACCTGAGATCTGGGGATGCAGCGATACGGCGGCGGCGGCGGCATGGTGATGTCGTTGAGCCATTGCCGAATCAAACGGGATGTGGTCTGCATTGGTTGCGCGGCGTTTCCGCACACCTCGGCGTCGCAAGGCCCCCAGATCTTCTCCATCAACTGCGCATCGAAGGGGTGTGGAGGCGACCTGTGTACGCACCACTTGGGAGAACCTCAACGATTCAACCGTAGCAATTGACACTGGCAAGACTAGTCACAGATAATTCTGAGCCTATACGAGCACATGCAGGCTTACCAACGAGGGCCACGACTAAAGCTCAGAAGGAGCTGCGGCCAGCATTCAAGCTATCTATTGCATCGATCAGTCTCTCACCTTAAAAGACTTCCACTCCAAGTCTAGAGGGGTAACCAGCCAGGCTAACAGAAATGAGAGGAAATAATAGATGGAGGAGGGGGGCGACTTTGTATGTATCCAAACCATCCGCGCATGTAGCTCCTTGCGTCGTAAAATGCAGGACGTCCAAAAAGTCTGCCGAGCAGCATGCCCAGTCGTGGAACCCCCTTGTTAGTCTGGCGTCGTGGATAATATCCGTCCTGCCTTCACCGTTGTAATGATAATGAGTACCAGGGCGTCCACTTGCATTAGCGGCTTTCTTTTCTTTTTCACTCCCCTTGATGATAGCTTTCGAAGGGCAAAGAAGTAAAAAGGGGGAGGGCAACAACTGGGCTGCCTCTAAAAAGAAAGACAAGAGGTTGAAAGGTGAGACTATCTCAATCCTCGTTGAAACGAGGAATATCCCTCCTAAGAAATTTTGCCTGATCCAGGGTGGCGGTGCAACGCGAGAGAGATAGATGCATGGCACCGAAATGGGAGTGTATTGATCCCCGTGTGCCTGTTTGTGTGCCTGCCCGTTGTCGCCTCCCAGGAGATGAAATCAGAATCGCGGCCAAGAGGGGCGGTTTATGGAGCGCTTGTTCTTGCGGATTGCCCATGGAGAGGGCCCTGTACCGGTCTCCCGGAGTTTGAGAGAAGATGGCCTGCTATTGGTTAGTCCAGCCGTGAAATGGAACGAAGTGCTGGGGCATAGTTACATTGGATTGGTGAGGAAAGTATCCTCCCGAAAGGGCTGATGACGCCAATGACGATGAGGGGAGGGGAGGAGGAGGCAAGAGCAAGACGCACATCGGCCACCCACTGGGTGCCTCGGTTTCTCCCTCGAATGATCTTGCTCTCGCTATTCCCTATGCCTCCCATACACACACGCGCATACACACACTATGGACATCCATACATCCATTCTTGATATATCCAGATGGATGCACACATCCATGGATTCATTCAGACACACACCTGTAGAAACACACCCTGCGAATTCTGCCAGCCTGTTTACATGCCAACACCCCAATGTAATGATACGCTATATGCATCGTTGTAGCCTGTGCTCTCGACAACTTCATCTCCCCCTCTTCCTTGGAGCGACTCCGATGCTCGAATTGTACAGGTGGAGCTTGGTGGACAAGGCATTACGTTGAAATTTGACTCAACCGATCCACTGATTTTCGAGGTTATGTCAACTGTGCGTGACAGCCCTTTGATGATCGCCTTTCAGCTGCAGCTCAAGGCAACACATCTCCCACGGCACGTACTACTAGCCTCTGTAGTCTTGATTGATCCGTCTTCACAAAGCCCTACGATGATCATTGTGTACCGAAGCCGAAAGTCCTTCATCGGAGCGTATGTAGTAGCGTAGAAATTTCGAAAGGAGTACGTGATGGCTCGTCGATGCTCTTTATTACCCTATAACTCGAACCAGCAAGCCCTGCCCTGCTCTCCCTGGCCCAATAGAAATTCTAGGGGTTTGCTTTTGGGCGGGACCGCTCGGATTGAGGGCAAGATCAATGAGCTTGGGCCCTTGAAAAAGAGGCCGAACACGGATAGTCAACCCTCGACGACGGACGCAAGGTCGTTGCATGTATCTCAGCTTCAGGCAGGAGCAAAATCTATGAATGATTGGCGCCTGCCACCAGGGAACTCAAGATCGAGACATGGAGTCCTGCGGTACCCTCCTAGATCCTAGATAGCACGGCCGGTTTCTCCACCACCTTTCAGCGAACGTGGGGAATCGACTTGAATGCCCACCTCCATCTTGGGGTTTCCAGTTGCAGCACGAGACGAGAAGTGCGGTGCACCCTGAATTTCAAGCCTTCTCACCTCTCGGCCCCTTCACCTCCCCTGTGGCCTTTTTTTTTTTTTTGTTTTTGTTTTTTTTCTTCCTCTCCTTCCTCATCCATCTGGCTATTCCTTGTCTGGCCGCTGCAGTTCCTATCCTGAACCCTCCAGGGCAAGTTTTTGTCTCACGCCGTGAGGGTCCGTCATGCCAGCGCAAGGGCATCCCTCAATCGCTAGCCATTCATCCACTCACCGCCTCCGCCTCCGCCTAATCATGTATGCGTCCCAGCAGGATATCAGGGAATCACTGAGCATGGAGGTTTTTGTATCTGTATCATCCGGTATCCTTTAAACTCCTGCAGCCATCACTCCAGGCCAGGAGTCTTTGGGTGTCGCACAAATGCACGCAATTTCGGTGGTCTGGACGGGTACCTAGTACGTCTTGCCTGCCGTCACTTGGAGGCGTAATCATTCCGTCCATTTGGGAGCCAACGCGAGCAGTTGGTCTCTCGGATTGGTGGCATAGTCGCCCAGAACGATGTGAATGTGTGACACTCGGAAACTCACCTTACCAAGGACTGATGTAATCCATACCAAAACTAGAAAAAATGTTACGCATGTTCTGCAAGCATAAAAGATGCCTGGTTAGTACATGCTAAGGGGCAGTTCCAAGCCGGCCAAGGCAAGGTGATCATCTGGATCTATCAGATCGAGGCTCATTACCCTTTACAGAAAAAAATGAAAGAAGAAAAAGAAGACAAAAAACATCATCGACTTCACGTCTCCATTCTAGTGTTTTTAATGTACCAACCTACACAATATTAGGGGCACATGTGGAAGCACGAAACCATCCATCTTACAAAAATATGAGCTCTGAGACCCTCAGGCTAGAACAGGCCCGAGAAGAGAAGGCGGAGAGCGCCCACCAACACTAGTTCGGCACCTTGTTCAAATTCAAACTGGGACTATGCGTGTGTTCAATGCTGTCTCAGAGGCTTCAGTATGGATCCCGAGACTCGGTCATGTCTCTTCACAATATCGCGAGAGCGGAAAAGAGGAAGAAAGGCCAAGCTCATCAAATTCGATATCTAGGCCTTCATGTGTTCACCTCTCTCTTCCTCAACTCAACTCAATAATGGTCCGCTACCTGCTGGCGTTAGCGGGCTCTGTCAGGTTCTACTGATAGTATGCAGTAGATCAATCCCTCCACGGACATATTAATAGATCAATAGTGGAGTGGATGTTCCTTTTTTCTTCTGTGTTTTTATAGGCGTAACTGAGCAGTATTCGAATAGATCAAGGGTTGGTCCATGCCGTTGCCGCAAGACAGGCTCAACCGTAGATGCCCCTGTTAGCCCCTGTTGCACTATCGTGCTGGTTCCCGTTGGGTGACTCGTGGAAGGCACTAAACGGGTTCAGATTTGCAGAGCTCCAAAACGCTGACACCTACTGGACTGACCCAGAACAACACTAACCTGAAGCTGGGGTAGACCGCTCTGCCGGCTCTTCACAGCCAAGTAGTACATGTTGGGAGCTCTCGGTATTGCTACCTCTCACTAGCATGAACCCGCTCCATGGATCAAGTGGGTGGTAATAGATCCATTGGGTCCGTTGGAAAATTGGAACCTTGGAACCTTGGAAGCGCAGCACGAGCCACTACCAAGCCAGGCAGCCAAGCCAGGCCAGGGTGGGCTAACAAAAGTGTAGCCAGCACAACAGAGATCAAATGGGTGGAAGGAATGGAGGGACATTCAATCGATCCATTTGATCGATGGATCAATGGGATGGAAGGGAGAGGAAGAGGAGCCCGAGGGACCCGGCCACGCACTCCACCAGTGGGAGTGGGCGCAGTGCTGCAAAGCCTGCTGGTGGTACTTGGGGACACAGAGGGTGGGTGAAGCGCGGTCAACCAAAGGGGACCAAAGCCTGGGACAGGGAGAGCGAGAGAGAGAGAGGGAGAGACAAGCACGGATCAAAAATCAGAGGGGAAGGGGGAAAAAGTCTCGCCCCCTCCTGCTTAGCCAACAGTCGAAACTTCTCTTCAACAAGGACAAATTCTCCTTTCCCCTCTCCCTCACCTATCCCCGAACACTTCAACGGCGATCGGAATTTTTTTCCACACAGCGACATTTCCTTCATAGGACAGCCCACGGCGAATACTAAACTTTTTCTGTCATCTCGACAACCTTGGCGACCTTCGGCTGCTTGATCTAGCCGATTCATCATTTTCTTCCAGACGATTTCTCAACCCCACGGACGACCCTAACGCGTCTCTTCTGATTCCTTATCGAGGACAGGGGAAGCAGAAAAAAAAACAGCTGGATCGGAGGCCCTTGACAGGCTTCTCTTCTCACCAGGACTAGTCCTGCCCGACGACGACGACGCCTCGCCCTAGCGAGCGACTTGAACGGTCTTCTTGTTTTCTTTTCTATCCATTCATTTTAGTATTCCCAGCCAGTTGGTTACGCCGTTTCGGATACCTCAACACCACGGGCGACTTCTCTCCTCGGAGAGCCACTACTTGCTGAGATCACCTCCGTTGTGAGTATCCCAACGACATGGCCGTTTCTCATCATCGCTCCTTCCCCTCTTCCTCCGCCATCATCACAGGCATCATTCCCAGTTTCGCTACTACTCAATAACCCTCGCGCAAAAATTTTCCTTGCCCATCGCGACTATTCCCAACCTTTGCTCCCGCGACTCCCTCCCCCACCGTATTCACTCTTCACACACTTGATCGTCAGCAGTTTCCCCGTAGTGCTTGCCCGCTTTGCATTATCGTTTAGGTCTCTCACGCTTGTAATCTCGCGTAATCTGACACCTGCCCTTCCTCACCGATACTTCGCCGCCTCAGATGGCCAGCACAAAAGCTAACCAATTCATACGCACGCCTTTAGATCTGTGGAGTCTGCCAATCCGACATAAAAAACAGGCATATTTTATACAGTAGACTCGCCTGCGCTTGGTTCGGTGTTGAGTGCTGCTAAAGCCCCTGCCCCCTCCCCCTCTACATCTCCGTGGGCCACACATTAGCACACGAGAACGCCCGCGATGGCCGACCAACACGAGGTCGATCTCGACTCTATAATCGACCGCCTTCTCGAGGTCCGCGGCAGTCGCCCCGGAAAGCAGGTGCAGCTCTTGGAGTCTGAAATCCGGTTTCTCTGCACGAAAGCGCGAGAGATCTTCATCTCCCAACCCATCCTTCTCGAGCTAGAGGCTCCCATCAAGGTATGCAGAGAACGATCCATGGTCAAGGCGCTTTCCGCTTCAAACGGAACTACCCATCGAGATGCGGAGATGGAGAGGCTCGGATCATCGTGCCTAGCGAAAACCTCTTAGCATCTCGAGGGTGATGCACCCTCGCCGCGACCGTTACACTGCTCTCAACGCAACGAGACTAATACCACTGGCCTCTAATCTAGATCTGTGGCGATATTCATGGCCAATACTACGATTTGCTGCGTTTGTTCGAGTATGGTGGTTTCCCCGAGGCCAACTATCTCTTCCTCGGCGACTATGTAGATCGAGGCAAGCAATCTCTCGAAACCATTTGCCTTCTCTTGGCGTATAAGATCAAATACCCCGAGAACTTTTTCATCCTCCGAGGAAACCACGAGTGTGCTTCCATCAACCGCATCTACGGTTTCTACGATGAGTGCAAGCGTCGATACAATATCAAGCTTTGGAAGACTTTCACGGATTGCTTCAACTGTCTCCCCATCGCTGCCATCATTGACGAAAAGATCTTTACCATGCACGGAGGCTTGAGCCCTGACCTCAACTCCATGGAGCAGATTCGCCGTGTCATGCGCCCCACTGATGTAGGTGTTGTCCCCTCCCTGTTGTGGAAAAAGATCACAACTGCCCCGCACCTCCCATCTTGCTGTCGTGTGCATGATTCCTTATCGGGGGAACGATCCACATTTTCCCATGGCAAAACGAGGCAGCCGTTGTGCAATTCCAGAACATAGCAGGCGACGGTGACACTAACACAATCCTCTTTGGCAGATTCCGGACTGTGGCCTCCTCTGTGATTTACTTTGGTCGGATCCCGACAAGGACATCACTGGCTGGAGCGAAAATGACAGAGGTGTATCATTTACATTCGGCCCCGACGTCGTTTCCCGATTCCTTCAGAAGCACGATATGGATCTGATCTGCAGAGCTCACCAGGTCGTCGAAGATGGCTACGAGTTCTTTTCCAAACGCCAGTTGGTCACGCTGTTTAGCGCCCCCAACTACTGTGGCGAGTTTGACAATGCCGGTGCCATGATGAGCGTCGATGAGAGTCTTCTTTGCTCTTTCCAGGTTAGTTATGTTTCCGCAGTCCGAGAACCATCCATCGCTAACTCGGCTCCTTCGCTATTAGATTCTCAAACCCGCCGAGAAGAAACAAAAGTATGTAACCCGAGAGGTTCCGGACAGTTCCTAGCCCAACACTCCCCAGTCCAAGTAAGAAATAATGATGAAAGGAAACACTTACGAACCTCGATTTCCTCTTTAGGTTCCGCCGCTAAGCTCCACAAACCATTCCGATCCTACTCCCGAACTTCTTCTCTCTACGCGCCGAACGTCCCTCCGACGACGAGTTATGCTCGCTCGATCCAACCAAACCTTCGCTCTTGCGCTGGTTTATTTGTTTTTCCCCTTGTTTCCACTGTTTTGACCTGTTTTGACCTTTTTTAACCGTGTTTTTTCTCCTTTTCCTTTGATTTTGTAAGAAGAACTCGACTTGTCTTTTGGTCCCATCCAGATTCCTGTCCCCCGCGCCAACCATTCGCGACTCCTTCACCGTCCAGCCGAACCTCCCCCTCGATTTTACGCTACCCCATACATTGAGAGGCATCCCGTTCCTGTGCCGTCTTCTCAACAAGGACATGCGGGTTTTGTCATGTATACTCTGGAGCCGACTTCCAAGAAGGGAACCTGTTAGTCTCGCTTCTGAGTGGGAAAATGCGGCAGGTATGAGGAACGTGGAGCGCTGCACAGCCTTTCGGAACTTTTTCTACCCCGTCACTACATCCTGTCGAGTAGTACAAGGCGCGATTGACGGATCGCAACATTTATTCTGCCGTCCTTTGCAAATTGTACGACCTCCTTTCATTTCTCTTGTCCGGTTGCGTCCTCCTTCCCCTAGACTCATTTCAGATGCATTCGTGCATCTTTTGAGGCACGCTCGCTGGCACTTTCGCACCCTCTTGTACCGCGCGCTCGTTGGCGAAAGCTACAAGTGTTCGGGAAATCTGTCGGGTGATGCTAGACTCGACTTTGTTGGGGTGGCTGCTTTAAGATGTGCTGCGTGGCGGTCCTCAGTGGTACATCCTGAGACGTGTATGAAGGGTGAGAGGTTCGAGGAGAGGGAATAGCGTATTGGCGGACAGTTGGCCTCATTTTAGTCGGCCTGATATGAGCAAGGATTGCAGGAACGTCTGTACAACCTTGGCAAAATCAGGGAATCGCCGTGCGGATGCCCCCTTATCTGTTGTGTTTCCCTCGTCGCCCACCTCACAACAGGAAAGTTCCGAACAAGATGAGGAAGAGTATGTCGATGTGTATAAAAAGATTTGAGAAGGGGTGGGGTTTGGGGTTTCTATCTCTCTAAGAAAAACCCGGTCTGTACCAAATTAGAAGGCTGCGGTTGCTTTACGATAGGAAACCAGGGCAAAGTAGCCGCGAAGACATTCAGCGCAGGAGTCAGAGGATTTTTGAAGGGGCCCTCGAGACTTGTTGAAATTTTTCAAGCAGAATCCGAATGCAACGACCAAAAAAAAAAAACTTTTGTTTCCTTCTCCGATCCTGATTAATACATCGCATGATTGGGAATTGCTTATTTTTAACACAAAGCGAGGACTAGCAAGCGGAAGGAGATTTCAGGCACTTTAAAAGATTTTCTCCAGCCTGTGTATGCGGGTATATGGAAGTGTGCGTGCGTGTGTGCGTGCGTATATGCATTCACGAACGTTTACAGGTACTTGTATATATATATATACCTGCGAAATTCCACAAACTCTTAAGGCAGTTCAAAATTTAAGACAACAGAGCCTCTCAACGGTTATTTCGCCGCCTCGATCCCCATCCCACGTGTGGATGGTCACATTGGGCACCAAGACACAGTGAGTAAGCCCCCCCCTGCCATCTCCCTGCCTTCACTCGCAGGTCCGACAGTCCTCTCCAGAGCCGGGTACGCAAGATGTGGCCCCCGCGATAGGAACGCCTGCGGCAACAGCCGAAGCGGGAGCGTCGGCGGGCCTCTCGGCCACCGCGGGTCCGTGGTGGCGGTCGTTGTGGCCTAGATTCCGGCCGGGATCGATGACGTCTCGCACGCGGCGCTTCAGCTCCTTGGTCTCGGGGAAGCCGCCGTCGACGGTGCGGTCCCAGAGAACCTTGGCGGTGGTAGGAGAGGAGAGGGCCGGGTCTGTCACCGGTGCGGTGGCGATGGAGATGACAAAGGTACCGCCTCGAGATGGGCGTAGAGTGACCTCGGCGAGGTCGGCTTGGAAGGTGGAGAGGAGTTCTTGCGCGAACTGGAGCGGACGAGGTGAGACGGTGGAGCGACCCCAGATAACGTCAGAGTTTGGTGAGACGTGGGGAAACGGGGGAGAGGGGAGAGGGGGAGTCAAAAAGTCAAAGGAAGAAGGCAAAGAAAGCGATGATGGGCTTTTCCTTTTTCAAAGGGTAGGGGAGACGTACATAGGCCGCGCGAAGCATCCATTTGCATTGCGTGCAATACTCAATGGTGACGCGCGGGTAGGCAAGCTCGGCCGCCGCTAAGGGTTTTGGTTCCTCCGCCATGGTCCCCTAGATCCCGCGAACAATCCAAGCTGAACTTGGGTACTCTTTTTATATGACTTATTGGTCTTTTTCTCCTTTCTACCTTGGCGTCGTCTTGTCCGTCTTTCTAGTCGTTCCTCCTGTCGACACTCCCATTGATATATATACTTGTTGATGTGGAGGGGAAGAGTCAGCAATGGAGGGGCAGGGCAGCATATGTGCGTATCGTATCGTCTTGGGCCCTTCTCATTGGCCGGGAATCACTCTTCGAGCCGATTTAGGACAAAAGTAGGTATGAGAAAGACATGAAGGAACAAAACATTTATAGAGTGAAGAGACAAGCGAGAAGCAGTTGAATGTTCCAAGTCATATTGAAGATTAAACCAAACGCTACGGACAGCGTAACATGCCGCATCCTTCGCTCGTTGTTTAGATCATGACGACTACTAAAGTGAAAATGAAAGCAACGTTGTCTAGGCCAAGTCAGCCGGCCCCTAGCTCAACTAATTGCTTACCAGGAATTCTGGCTTGCCTCGAATAGCCAGATGAGGTGATGGATTTTTGACTATAATCTTCTTCAACCGCTTCTACCAGCCGCTCCCATCAGTGTGCTTATTCCGAGATGATAGAGACTTGGATGGCCGTCACCTGGAATTTCCTAGGAACCGTTTGCGGCACCTTAGGAAATGAGCGGGGTTGACCGTGGTCTTGGACGGGTAGTGGAAATGTCAAACCGACGCAAGGTACCACTCAGGGCCCTAGAGGCGCCCTCCCAGTTGCGTTGAGTCTTGCAAGCAGGATCAGGACACCACGCAAAGTAGCGCGTCTCTTCATCGGCCGTGAGGGAGTATGAGCCCGGGTCAAGCTGTAGCACCCACTGCTTGGAGTAGGGCTCCAAGTTGACAACCAGCTTTTCCCCTAAAGCACTGACCAAGGTTCCGCCGGCATGACGACGAAGGTGATATCTCGTCATGCACGGGTGCTTGCAGCGAGATTCATGTACTGTCCACGGCGTTGGAAGGAATCGGCTGGCCGAGCCTGGTTGATTTGCCACCATGCGGTGGCAGCACCAGGATTGGAAGATCGGGTGGTTATGCGGTGGTTTCAGGGCCTGGGGAGGAGACAAGCAGCTACACTTGTCCGGCTCAACACTCCGCAGGAGGCGTTCCCGGTCAAAGTGCGGACAGGACAGGGACTCAAACGTAGCCTTGTTGGGGGAATCATGCTATAGCTTCCCGAGTTCGCTCCGCGTGAGTTGCGTGTCGTGGCCAACGTGGAAAAGTGGAATTTCGTGCTGGATTCGAAGGAGATTCAGAGATGATGTTTGGCAAAATTTAATGGATGCACCGAGGAGAGTACCCGGCGTGAATCCTTGGATCCGGGTGCAGCCCCGGCAATCGCATTCTCTACACCTCCAAACGCTATCCGACATTCTGGTCCCTGACGTCCCCGCGGGTCCCCGCCCCGACCTCCATGCCTCGATATCAGCCCATCTGATAGTCTTGTGGGGACATACTCGGATGAAACCCTGCCTCCCGATGCATATACGTTCCGAGCTTTCCTTGAATCTCTCTTTGGCGGAAAACAGAAGCCGTGGATGGTGGCGTTGGCAACCCGAACAAAATTGACTGAGGCTAAGCGGCAAGTTTTTGATGAAGAACCGTGTGCAGCCCCGTAACTGGGAACAGGGGTCGCAATAAAGGTCTTTTAAGAGAAGCCGGGATATGAGGGGCCCTCGCTATGATACTGCGTGTCTCTTCTCCAGAGGCGATAGCCCGAGGGGCCACGAAAGACAGGATCGTGATGCTCCCGGAAGGTTCTATTAGATGCTAGTCTCAGGAACAGCCGGCAGGTCTGGCGGGCCAGGTATAGCGAGATGGGGTCGAGGCGGTTCAGTATATCGAGCAACAGCTCTTCGGGGAGCGCTTGTATGGGTGAGACAGCCCGGCTGGTGTTTAAAGAGGACCTAGTCACCGCAGATGTGCCTCTGGCTTCCCAGATTTGGCCCGTGACGAGCCGTTTTCCTAGGTTTCGCCAGTTTCGAAGGCCGGAGAGGACAGCCCGGAGGCCGTATCCGATGGCTTTCCCGAGCCCCTTCAACTTGGGACAGAGCTTATGGAAGGAATAATAAGAGGGTGCTTTGCAAAGAAAACGCTCATCATAGTATTGATTCTCAGGAGGAAAAGATACAGACATGATGGATGGCCCGACATTGGCAGATCTGGACAGGTTATGATAAAGAAAGGGTTGGGACCTGACCCCCTTCCGACCTTGATATAGTGCATCATCTTGAAGGCCTAATACAACAAATGCACCTTCTTCATTCTGCTTCTTATATTGAACTGGGCGATAGCATTGCCGAGGTTCCAGCTTTGCCTCCGGCTGCGGCAGGCACGAATCAACCATCAACTGCGCGGGGCGGGCAGGTCGTCAAACCGCGGCTGCAGAGCTACCACTTATACACCTATAATCTTCAAATACCACATCGAACCCTCTTATGCTAGATGCTCAAGCGAAGTCTTTGCTCGTATGGTCGTGGCCCTTATTCGGTCCACTCGCAGCATCCATTTCTGACACCTGCCTGCGAGGACTTGAACACTACCCGAATTCGCACCTTGATACTTGTATGTGCATACAATACACGTCCCGCATTGGGCGGACTAATCCATCTTCTCCTCGAACCGCATATTCCGCATATTATGAGGCGGACCGAGGGGAATGAATGTAAGCATGTGCTACAATCAACACAATGCCATCTATCCAAAGAACATCATGGCGTCACGGCAGATGCCCAAGGCCGACTAGATCGCGGCGATGAATAAGTTCAGTTTTACGTCGGTATTTTATTTTCACACATTAGGCGAAACACAAAAGTAGATGATCCTGGATAGATGGAAAAGAAAAGAAAAAGGCGTACAGAGTATCAAACGTGGATACAGGTAAAAGAAGAAATAAGGTTGTGGATGGATACATGATGACAAGAGAAAAGGGGGCAAAGGAGAGTAACAGAAATAAAACACAAGAAAAGACGTAAAGTACGTATTACATGCCCCAAAACAAGCCTGGCCTTCAAAGATCGCTTGTAAAACGCAATCAATCGACGCACCTTCCTCAAAAATAACGCGCCATGGCAACATCTCATTGTCATCTAGACAGAGAAAAACATGATCGCGAACCACTTGGCCGCGCCCAGAGGACCTAGATATGGATCTAGAGATTCTCAAGAGTTCATGCTATGCTCGAGCCTAGTTGCGCTTCCTTGTGACTGTCATAACGTCGAGTCCTGAATCGTCGTCTTACCCACAAAGCAAGGCTGCATGGAATGCGTTGGGTATTCGATTTTGACTTTTCATCCATTTTCATCCCCTTTTCCACTTTTTTTTTTGTATGGAACACTTCTTTCGACACCGATATTAAGTTATCGCGAGGGGTACGGCAAAATCGAAGCGATTGTTGATCGGTCAAATGAAAGAAGATTTCGGTACTCGATGATTCGATTCGGTAGGCTAGCGCGATAAAAGTAGGGCATTTGAAGGTATTGGATTTCTCCCCGTTTCGTCATGGTCGTCGATACAGCTTTCGTGGTATTTTGTAATCTTCGCAGTAACAGGCTCAATGCTCGCCATAACCAAGGGTATTTTTGTTTTAATTGACGTTTTGATTTACATCACCAAGCAACAGCCCCCGCTTTGTTGCGGCGCATACGGATCCTCTCCCTAGGGACTGCACCCCAGACGGAGGGCACCATATAGTCTCTCGTGCTGTTACAATACGCGATGATGCTATTCAGAGAGGTGATGGGTTAGCAAGGGTCGTCGGAAACATTGCTCTTTGCTCATGCCCACGCATCCAAAGTCCGTTGGAGAAACGATGTCATAGTAGGCCTAAGGCCTTGATGGAGCCGAGTAATGAAGAGAGGGTGGGATAATTACCTCTTCGCCGCGCTGCTCACGGGAATCCTTTCCCTCTCCAAATCTTCACGTAGCCGGTTGTTTAGTTCGGTTAGACGGCGGAGTTTGAGGTCGGCCATCGATTGCTTTCCTTTCTTGATCTGCGACGTGTCGCCAACGTCTCGGGGGTTGTACTGAGGCATCATGAAAGGAGGTCGAGGTGGAGGCGCCGGGCTATAGGAGGTCTGGGGGTAGGACTGCGTTGGGATCGGCGAAGCTTTCAGTGGGTGATAACCGGCGTCTTGGTTCGTGGGATAGTGAACGATGGGCCCTTGGTCTTGCTGTCGATAGTCCTGCATTGGAGGCATTGTGATATTAGTATTCACGCTGTCTCCGAGATGATTGCTGATGGTCTGCCTGTTTGGAGACGGACGGATCGCCTTGTTCCAATTGGCAAAGAGGGGGACTGTAGACAGTGGGAAACCATGTGCGAGGGATAGCTTGTGATGGAACGGGTGATGGATTCTCACGGTGAGTTGATTCTTCAAAGGGGTTTGATGCTTCGCGTCTGTTGAAAAGCACAGCTCGAGGCGGGAGGGAGAGGGGGCTGAAGTGGACGGTGTTCGGGAGAAGAAAGAGTGTGCGGGCGGGAAATGGGAACGTGCCTGGGTTCTCAGGGGCGGGCGCGACTCACAGGCCTGAAATGATCGGGAGAAAAATCCAAGCACTCAAAAATTGTGGCTTTCTAACCGCACTCGCCTACTAGATCAATCCGATACGATTGATATGGAACGATTCGAGAGACGAAAGGAGAAAGAAAGAAGAGAAAAGGAAAATTTTCAAGAGGTGCTCTTGGCGTGGGAGGAGGAAGGGAGAGTAGGCGCCGCGATACTCTTGAGGATCCGAGAGATTGGGACAGGAATCAGGAGGTGCAGTTTGTTGTGTTGCGGAAGTTTTTGCGGGAGAGAGCAAGGCGTAGGAATCAGGAGAACGGGAGACAGTAAGCAAGAAGACATGGGAGGAGGACAAAACGGGACGGGGACGAAAGGCAGGGGGTAGCAAAGGAGTATAGCCTTCCTTTTTCTCAATGCTCTCCCTCTCGATACTTTTGGGGGCGTTTTCGATGGATCTGCCTCCTCACGTTGACTCTACGGTTGCAATTGACCAATTGACAGTAGGTGTACAGTACGAGCCGTACGGAGTACTCCTAACTGACCTTCTACTCGGGGAAAAGTGGATGTCGACAAGGAGGACTGTGCATCGAGAGCCCTTGTACCATGACCAATCTAGAACATTTGGATTATTAGAATTGGCGTTGGACCCATTGTCATTTTAGTGTAGTGACTATTCTCATTGCCTGACAACCTCTCATCACCACACCACTGGGAGAGACTTGCAATGCTCGACGGTCGACTAGTTGACCATGCTAAGCCCGGGCCATTTAAATCTTATTCTTCGAGTGATGCCAGGCGGCAAAAGGTAATGGTGCAAGCGGAAGAACTCACGTTGGAGTGGTTTTGAAGGTCAAGCCTCACCACAGTAGACACTTGACGATGAATGCACGGCCTGTCGGACCAACTTTTGGAGAGAGCAAGCCTCCTATGCAAGAAATGGCCACTGGAATGCAATCCCTGACACGCGCATCCCCCGTGCTTGCTCCAGTCCTCCCAGCTCCATCCAAACACTCTCAATTTGAAAATTGGCAGTGGACGGGGTACTTGTACCTCAGTATTGCACTACATATGTCGGGAGAGGTATAGACCCGGGCTCAAGGACGAAAGAGGAAGGCTAATGAGAACGAACCTGGGGCGAGAAGAGAAAAAAGGTAGTAACCGAACAATGCTGCAGGTATGATGCACCCTTCATAGGCCAGCCAAAGAGGACAAGCCCCTCAGCCGAAATTAGGACTCCATTGGTTGGAGATTGCTGCGAGCTAAGGAAATGGACCGTGCCATTAGACTTCCCCACCTCCATCAAGGGTCGAGCTTGGGAGTGAATCCCACGCATTTGTCCCCCATCAGAAACAAAGGTTTTTGTTTCCTCCCGAGATCAGTGCTTGCGATTGAGGGTTCGTTGGTGCTGGATTCCGGGGTGCGGTGGACTGAGACAGAACGTATAGTGTCGTGCAGCGGGGTGGGCTCGCCCACCTTTTTAGATCTTTTAGTGCGTATCAACCATGTTCAAATGAAAAGAAGACCACACCATTCAGCTCCGCTCAGCCTCCCTTCTCTGTTTCTTGCCTCACTGAATGCAGAAGTACGCTACAAAAATATATTGGCTCTTTTTACAACGTTTTGGTTGAAGGCAAAAGGGAGGGGGCAATAGCGTGAACCTCATGAAAGTAATACTAATAACCTCGAGCTCAGGAGTTTCGGAGCCGAGCCGTCATTCGTGTCTCAGTAAAAAGACAGTTTAGGTCGCCGTCTCGTTTTTAACTCGGGCACAGTCGACGATCGGCACCCAGCGACACACTTTCTTCGTTCGGCTCCCTTGCTCCGACCCTGTTGCTACCCCTTTTGCACATAACTTCGGATCATCCCCCTTCTCCTTCTCCTCATGCCTGCACCGTGAGGGTCTTCAACTCAGGTTGAAACATCGGCCTCTTTTTATTTCTCTCTCTCTCTTTTCTTTTTCTCTTCCTTTTCTTAGCTCTCTTCCTCGTTCGTTGATCTAAGAACAACTTTTACGGGAAAATGATGGAGAGTTGACCTCTTTCCCGTTAGCTCTGCTTTACCAAGCCAAAGTGTTCAATCCCTGGCTGAAGGAGCTCAGTGCAGTGGTCAATTTCGATGCTGGGCTGCGAACGAAATTTCTCGTTGGGGCACCGACCCAGGCGGCGTGACCACAGTGTTGAATCCAGTATCCTTGCACGGCGCGGATGAGCGGGCAGCCTTCACGCCTCTTCCCCTCTGGCATACAGCTAGCTAATACGGTGACGATTGGATCAGCATTCTGGTCCTGAAAATCCTTGGATTTGTAACTCAGGTTGTCCCTGGCAGGCAACTTCTTCTCCCTGATAGATTTGGTTGACCAAAAGCCTCTGAAACTCCCCACCGTAGTCCCAGCCTACGACGCAAATCTGGCCTTCTTTATTATTATCCCGGGGGTTTTTTTCTTTATATAAATAAATTTAAAACTAGGCCTTAACTTTAGAATATAACGATAATAGAGTTGATAGAGCGGCGGGTTACTCCCGTTTATACCCATCTTATTATGAAAACGCCAGTTTATTAGGTCCACCATCGGTTGAGTGACAAACCGACACACGGCGGCACTGATCGACTGGAGATACTCGTAATCACGTGACAACGCTTAGCCCCTCGGCCGGGGTTCGCTCATTATTATCACCTTTTCACACACGAAAATGAAATTTTTCTTGCTGGGAGAAGCAGTCAACCTCACTCCATCAAAAAGCCTCGAAGCGCCAGCCCAGTCTGCGTTATCGCAATTTGATCATTACGGCGCGCGCCTCGCCTCGCTTCGCCTTCAAGTAATCTCCTCGATTTCATCAAGGTTCCCTTAGAGGAGGTTGCCCAGCATGGTATGTCTCTCTTTCTGCCCTGTGAAGCAGTAGTAGTGAGATCCAAAGTCCGTCCTGGTGACGGCAGCTACCCCTCCCCGCCCCTCCTCGTCGCCCAGACTGCTGCTTTACCTGTCACCACCCATATGTGCAGGCTTCATCATGGTATATGATCTAACCTCTTACTAACTAATCTCCCTTAACTCCTACGTAGGCTCCTCCACCCCATCAAAAGCCCGAAAATGTGCTGAAACGCGCAAATGAACTCATCGGAGTCAACCAGGCCCCAGCGGCCTTGGTCCTCCTCCATGAGCATATCAACTCGAAGCGATCGCGAAATGTCCCCATCGCGTCTCTGGAGCCCGTGATGCTCCTTCTTGTTGAACTTTCCGTCGAACAAAAGAAGGAAAACTCGCCAAGGACGCCTTGTACCAGTACAAGAACATCAGCCAAAACACAAACGTTGCCACGATCGAGGTATGCCCGTCTTTTCTTATGCCGATTTTGGCCTCCTACACAGTTGGCAGCCACGTACTGACTTGAATAAACAGCTTGTGTTGAAGAAATTCATCCAACTCGCCGTCGACAAGGTCACGGCTGCCCAGCAAAAAGCCGACGAGGTTCAGTCCACCCTCGAAGCCACCGCCGCCGGTGACTCCAACATCGAAGATCTCGAGGCTAGCGAAACGCCCGAGTCTATCCTTCTCGCTACCGTTTCCGGCGAGCAGTCTCGCGATCGGACCGACCGCGCCATTGTAACCCCTTGGCTCAAATTCCTCTGGGAAGCCTACCGTACCGTTTTGGATATCCTGCGCAACAATGCCCGCCTTGAGCTCCTTTACCAGAGCACGGCCATGCAGGCTTTTGACTTCTGCTTGAAGTACACCCGCAAGACTGAGTTCCGGAGACTGTGTGAATTGCTCAGGAACCACGTCCAGACCGCCGCCAAGTATTCGTCGCAGATGCACGCCATCAACTTGAGCGACCCGGAAACGCTCCAACGCCACCTCGAAACCCGGTTCCAGCAGCTCAACGTCGCCGTCGAGCTCGAGCTCTGGCAGGAGGCCTTCCGCAGTGTTGAGGATATCCACACTCTCCTCAGCCTTAGCAAACGCCCCCTAAGAACATCATGATGGCCAACTACTATGAGAAGCTTACGCGTATCTTCCTTGTTGGCGAGAACTACCTCTTCCATGCTGCTGCTTGGTCCAGGTATTATAGCCTTCTTCGTCAGTCTGCCGTCCTGCTCGCCACTGGCCAGGGCCGCAAGGCCGATAACCCTCCCGCTGCCGAGAACGATGTTCAGCGCGCGGCCTCCTTCGTTCTCCTCTCAGCACTTGCCATCCCGGTCATCAGCACCACCAGGTCTCGTGGTGCCATGGTTGATTTTGACGAGGCTAGGAAGAACAAGAACTCGCGTCTTACTCACCTCCTCGGCATGTCCCAAGCCCCTACTCGTGCCGGACTCTTCCGAGATGCCTTGGCAAAATCCCTTCTCAAGAGGGCTCGCCCCGAGATCCGCGACCTCTACAACATCCTTGAGGTGGATTTCCACCCCTGTCCATTTGCCAAAAGATCTCCCCAATCCTCACAAAGATTGGCGCGGATCCCGAGATGGAGAAGTACATTCAGCCTCTCCAGCAGGTTATTCTTACCCGCCTCTTCCAGCAGCTGTCCCAGGTATATGAGACGGTTGACTTGGCCTTTGTGGAGAACCTCGCTAGTTTCCCCGAACCCTACGAAGTCACCCGCGCCACCATTGAGAAGTTCATCATGAACGGAAACAAGAAGGGTGACCTATCGATCCGTATGGATCATGCCACTGGAGTCCTGAGCTTCGATAACGATGTCTTTTCGTCGTCCAAGGCGGGTGCTAGTGCCGGCTCAGCCGAGTCTGAGACTGGCTCGGTTCAACGCCTGCAGAGCACCCCGTCTGAGATTGTTCGATCGCAGCTTACTCGTCTGGCCAAATCCTTGTACACTACTTGCTTTTACATTGATCCCAGCTTCAGCAAGGACCGCGCAGAGGCCAGGCAGGCTGCCCTCGCCCGTGCCCGAGCTGGCGCGGAAGAAGAGCAGAATGCAATTCTGCAGCGCAAGGAGATCATTGAACGTCGCAAGGAGGCCGCTTCCGAGGCCCAGGCCCAGAAGGAGCGCGAGCTCGCCCAGAAGAAGCGGGAACAGGAGCAGGCGCTTCAGGAGGCCGAGGATCGCCGTTTGGCGGCCGAGCAAAAGGAGCGAGAAGAGCGCAGGCTCAAGGCTGAGCGGGATCGCGTCAGGAAGGAGGAACTCAAGAAGCAGATTGCCGACCTCAAGATTGGACCTAACGCTCTTGACATCGACATGGAAAACTTGGAAAATCTTGACAGCAATGAGCTCCGCAGAATGAAGCTGGCTCAGCTCGAAAGGGAGAAGAACGATATCAATGAGAAGCTCCGAATCACTGGAAAGCGCATTGACCACTTAGAGCGAGCGTTCAGGAAGGAGGAGGTCAAGAAGTTGCAAGACGACTACGACAAGCAAATTGAGGAAGACGAGACCACTTACGAGCTCGTCAAGACCCAAACGCTCAAGGATGCAGAGGAAAAGCACAAGGCCAGCGTCGAGCTCAAGGGTCGACTGACGCGCCTGGTTCCTTTCTTCAACGAATTCCGCAGCGACCTGCACGAGCGACGCCGCGACGAGTTTGAATCTCGCCGTCGTGATGCGGAGAGGGAACTAGACAGGCAAATTGCCGCTCGCAAGAAGGAGTTCAAGGAGCGGAAGTTGCGAGAGAAGCGCGAGCGTGAGGAGAGGGAGAGGGAGATCCGCGAAGCCGAGGAAACCGCGGCGCGCGAGCGCGAGGAAAAGCAGAGGCAGGATGAGGCCAAGCGCGAGGAGCTCGCCCGTCATCGAGAGCAGATGGCTCGCCAGTCCGAGGAGGCTCGCGAGAAGGCTGCTCTGCAGCTGAGGCGCGAGGAGGAGGCCTCGCACGGCGCAGGGAGGAGAAGGAGAGGGCTGCCAAGGCGCCTATTGAGCGATCTGAGCGGCCCGACCCGTTCGGCGGTGCATCCACTTCTGGCCGCCCTGCTCTCAACATCCCCGGTGCTGGGAAGTGGAGGGAGCGTCAAGCCGCCAAGGGTGCCGAGCCCTCCTCAGAGAGGAGAGTGCCCCGGCGCCGCCTGCGCGTACGGGAACTCCTATGGAGCGATCGGACTCTCGAGACCCGGCTGTATCGGCCCCTCGCCTCAACCTTGCCGGTAACAGCAGCAAGCCTAGCTGGCGTGACAGGCAGGAGAAGGATGGCTCGGGCGGTGGTGCCCGCGATGACAGCAGCAACCGAGCCGGTCGCGGTGGTGCCCGGGTAGCTTCAGGTGCCGGTGCGTACCGTATGGACAGGACGGATTCTGGTAGGGGCGCCAACGGCCGCAACGAGTCGCCTGCGGCCCCGCCTGCTGAGCAGGCCAAGCCTGCTGGAGGAGCTGGTCGGTGGGTTCCCCGCACAAGAGAACCTAGCGGGACATGAAGAGCAAAATGGATCGTGTCATCTAAGAAGTAGTTGCATTTCGTCCTTTGTTTGGCCAAGTGGGTGACGCCCTTTGTTACCTCGTTTCTTTTTCTTGCTTTTTGGCGTCTAGGATCTGGCAAAGGGTAGAGATAACGCAAAGGGGGAAGTGAGTGCTGCCATTTTGTTGTGTTGACAAAAACTACGTCCCAAAAAGGCGGCCCGCGGTGGGTGTGTATCGAGGCGCCGAGGGCTGCTTTAATGGACAGGTGACAGCTTTGGGGTTTAGTTGTAGATCAAAATTGCATTCTTGAGCATTTACAAACACCATTTGCACCTAAAGTTGTTAATTCACCGGGGGTTCACCCTTTGCCGTTTAATCATTTACAAGCAAGCGCTCATCGTGTGATACTTGTGGATTCCGCCCCAGCGTGCCGCCCACAACACTGAGGTATATAACTATCCACATATATCTGATATATCAATGCAAAATCCACCACTAGATCTATTATACACCCTGCCTGCGTCGTATGAGGGCCAGCTATATCAGTGCATGTTATCGTTCTCGTAGTGAATTCTACCTAGGTGGATAGGATAGCTTAGGCGCAGGACGGAAACAATAGACCCCCGTGCGTGGGCGATCGACATCGATGCCACTAGCTCCTTTAGCTTTCTTCGCCTGGCCTCATCCCAACAATAGGAGCGAAGGCGAAAGGAGCTAAAGGAGCGGGCAACGACTGGGGTCAAATGCCGAGCTGTGCAGACACTGTTCTGCGATGGAACGAGGCACTTACACGAACAACCCGAAACGTATGGCTTCTGAGGCTGGGTCCTGAGAGAAATTGGGTCGCCAGACTTGCGCCTCCTCGGCCATGGACTGCAGCAGGAAGCCAGGGGGAGAGGGAGAGTCTCTCTCAAGCGGAAGGTACGAATATTAATACTTCGTACCTCGACGCCTACCACGCGAGAGCAAGCCGAGGGACGTCTTCGGGGATCGGGGGTAATGGGCGAGTGGACTGAAGGGTTGTTGACTTGTCGTCACACTTTGGATTATTGCATCAAGAGTCCAGCAAAACAAGCATTCGGCTCGGTGAACAACGAGCAGAATATGGCGAATTAACCTCCTCGCATCAAGAGGTGGCGCCAAGTATTGATTCTTGAATGCATGATTCCGACCGTGCCGGGTTATGGGAGCGGGGGCGTGGGGATGGGAGTGGTGTGAAGGCGAAGGTGAGGCCATGGACAGACAGAAGAGCTCCAATCCCCTGGCTCCGTGCTTTCTATCCAGGGGGAAGCCTGCGCAATCGGAAGGAACCGAACCAGGAGTGGTCGGGCTTGATGGTTGGACTCTCGCGACTTGCTGGCGCTGCAGGCCAGGCTCGGAACCAGAGACCCCTGGGCGCGGAACGAGCTGAGCATCTGAACTGCCCAACAAGTTAATAATAATAATGTTCCTTGCATCGCAAGCATTACGAGTATTGTCCCTCTTTGGCCCCAGCGCCCGCGTCGAGAGCCCGCCCCTCTTGCAGACGAGACTGGAGAGGCACGAAATTCTCCCACCGACCAGACGGACATCGACCCACATATTGCGGTGAGCCACCTGAAGTAGCTAAGCTAAACCTGAGAGGGGCCTCGGGGCCTTGGGGCCTTGGAGAAGGGCGGGAAAAACAGGGACAAAGAACTGCTCGATGTGAATGGCCGCATGTCCAGCCCTAATGCAGGTCCCCTCGTCCATCTCGCGCATCTTCACGGGCGCTGGATTCGGATGATGGTACTCTGTATTAGCAGGGTTCCCGGGCTTGAACCTTTGCGCCACGAATTTTTTTCTTGCACGCGCGAGGGCCTAACCGGAGAGGGTTGGCGGCCTTTTTCTCTCCTCCTTTCTTACTTTTCTTTGACACTATTCGCCATTCTTTTCTAATTCCAAAGAAGAGAGAGAGAGAGAGAGAACGAAGAGCAAGAGAGGGATGGCGGGAAAGATAAAAGCGTGAGAGGGTGTGAGGGCGCGAGGGGGCCGCAGAAAGCGGAAAGCGATGGATATTACTCCTGCGTGGTTCTTTTCTGGGAAACAACTTCGCGTTGACCTCGTCCTCGTTCCGAGCGACAGCCAACTGCACGAGCTGAACTAGCCAGCGTGATGCTGCATGGGCCGCCAGGCGCTAGTTTGGGCGCAAAGGACTAATCTCCTCAATGCGCTTGGGTCAGGCCAGGCAAACTCCACGCTCACACTAACTCCTTCGCCAGTGCATCGGAAACCTGCCCAAGACCCCCAAGCTTTTGGGACCCGGAGAAAAAAAGAAAGAAAAGAAAAAGGAAGAAGGCGAAGAGGAACTTTGGAGAGGAAAAGAATTCGTCCGAGGGAAAGAAAAGAGTAAATCTCGACGTGGAAAAAGGAAGGACGGGATCACGGCATAATAATTGCTTTGCAGCAAGGAGGAGGAAGCAGAGAAGCATGCCCTCATGCCCTCCAGAAAAGGGGCGCACCACCTCGCCAACTCGTCTCCTTCGAGTGACTTCAAAGTTCAATCAATACAACAATAGCGGGCCCGCAATGCCGGCCAGGCCTCAACTCCCGCCGGAACCTGGAACCTGGAATTCCCCATCGCGGTGAAGCGGCTGTGACTGGTGTAACAAAAGAGCAACGCACGGGACTCATTAGATCGTTGACGGTACTTTGCACCCTCCCGGAAGAGATTTCTGCCCTAGGCCGTGAGCCTGGTTGAGCTGAGCCATGAGCGGGACCCTGGGGGAGAGGAGTAGAGAGAAGAGATGAAGAAGAGAGAGAAAAAAAACACAGTCCACGAGGCCCACAACACAACTGACCATCTTAGGAGGCGCCTCCTCCACCATGTGCTTTGGCGATGCGGCGGACAGTTGGCCAGCTATGCACCCACACCCGCCCACTGCGCACCCACTCAGCTCGAGATGCGTGCGGCCCTGTCGAGGCGCTCGTCAGGGGCTCGTGGTCTCCGTCCCTTCTTCGTCCCCTTCTTTCTTCTCTCGCCTCCTCTCCCTTACCCCACTCCCATCTTACGGCCGCCCCGATTCCAGGACGCTGGGAGGATATTAGTCTGTTGCAGGTGGTGGGGCCTAAAAGGGTTTCTTGTTAGTGAGTCTCCCTCGATTCGAGTCCGGCCGTATGCCGGCTCGATACGAAATGCAGCTGTATTGCAAGATGCATGGGCGGGTCTACAAGTAGCTCGCCAGCCTTGCCCTGCTACCTCGTCTCTCTCTCGACACACGGTGGCATGCATAGGCGAAAAAGACTTGCTTGGCCAGTGCACTGACGCCCCTCCGGCGGCCACTACGGACTATTACATGGGGCGGAAGAGGGAGGAGGGTCCAAGACCCAGCGTGGCCACGAGCCGGGGATGCGGACGAGGTCATGGAAGTATTAGGGGGCGTGGGTGGGAGAGACCTATTTTCGTAAAGTTATATAAGTGGAAGGGCCTGTCCCCCTCTGGGGCCCTTGAACGAGGTGAACGTTGGAATCGAGGCCTTCTTGTATCTGACGATCCGACTTCCTGGTCTTGTCATTGACATTCGTTTAATTCCTTCTTTTTTCATATCCACACTCGTTTAATCTGAGAGAGCACCTCCTCTCTTCGCTAGCTTCTAGCCTGCCGTTCGCTTCCAACCGTTCACTCCTCCCCATCCATCCCTCCACTCTCTCTCTCCGGCGCACAAGACCCGAGACCGAAAGATCAAAGATCGACCAGCACCCCCGATATCCAAATCGACATGTTCACCGTCAAGAGCGCCGCCGCCTTCGCGGCCGCCTGCCTCCTCTCCCTGGCCTCCGCCTCGCCGGTCGATATCCGTGCTCCTCACGATATCGCCCCCGTCTTGGCGGCGCGTGCCAACTGCAAGCTCAACTACCTCGGCGCCTGCATGCCCACCGTCGCCGTCGGGGCCGTCAACTTTGGCTCCATGTGCGGCGGAGGCGCCGGCCTGCCGTCGGCCACCGTCACCACGTCCCCGCCCGCCGTCACCTCGCCGCCCACCGTCACCACGTCCACGGTGAGGACGTCCACCTCGACGGCCCCCAAGCTGTGCACCACCACCTCGGTCACGCCCTCCACCTGCGAGTACAAGGTGGGCAACTGGTGCGCGACCAACATCCCCAGCTGGACCAACAAGTCGACCTGCACGACGGCCAAGAATGCCTGCAGCGCCCAGGTGCTCACCTGCGCTGCCAAGGCCGGCGGGCTCCTCGGCCTCAACGCCCTCCAGTGCATCAACTACACCGCGTGGTGCACTCAGATGAACACCCACTGCAACAGCAAGTGCTCTACCGCCGCTTCTGCCTCGTGCGGCAAGGAGCAGTTCTACGCTGCTAGCCCCCAAGGGTTACGTGCCCCCTACGACCAAGACCACGACTTACACTTGCCCCGCTGCCGCCGCCAGGTCTTACCAGACCCCTCCTCCTAGCCTCTAAGCGCTAGGTGACAGGCTTTTTTTTTTGTCTGTGTCGGAAACCTCTGTGGGCCGTGAGGTGAACAGGTTGACGTGGTTGAAGCTCGCGGATGGTGTCTACATGCCCCGAGGCAAAGGATTTCTTTTTTTATATTTTCAAGTTTAAAAATTTAATAATACTGGGATCTTTTGTTTCAAAGTCCAAGTCCAACTCTCGTCGTCTCATTCTACCTAGCTGCGTGTGTGTGTGTGTGTGTGTGTGTGTCGTGCCCTTTCTACCATTTCCCAAGACAGGAATGCGTGTGTTTGATGCAGATGCCCAAGCAAAGATCACGTTGTGGTTGATGTCTTCGTGCCGGGCTACTTTTAGCAGCCACGCCGTTGCTTCAACGCTTCTCGGAATCGTCTCAAAGGGCTTGATATATTTACACGCAATCGCTCGAACTAACCGCCGTGGTCGGGTTCGAGTGGCGTCTATCTGCCAAGAGCCAAGAGATCCGTTCCGCCTCTCCCATGTCTGTCCCAGGGTGGGATATCTTAGGCCGGGGGCCGGGGGTGCGTGTCTAGGCCGACAAACCACTACGAAGTAGATGAGTATCAAACCGGAATTTGTCTCGATCGCGATCGAGAAGTGGAAGCCATTTATTTGATCAGACGACTTATTACCATATTTGCTTTCTACCCCAATTTTTACTTTTTTTTTTTTTTTTTCTCGTACGTGTTTACTGCACAGATTTAATACTTGCACTAGATGTGATAGCTGGTTGAGAAAAAGGCATGGGCTGACGGTCAACTGCCGCGGAAATAGGTATCGTCATCTAATTCAAGCCATGATATTTTATCCTGACGATCGCATCAATGCGCATTTTCCATATCGGAGAGTCGGAGTGAAGAGACGGCCGAGACGACGGCGATGCGGGGAGATGAGGCCAAGATTGAGACCGCCCAAAGCTAGAAAAGGGGCGAAAAAAAAGTACAGTTTTAAGCACACCCTTTTACATGTATTTTTCTTTTCTTTTCTTTTCTTTTCCTCCACGCCCAATATTCCCCTTCCATGTTGTACCAACACACATAGGGGCCCCTCTCACACCTCCCTGCCTACCCGTATCCGAGCAGCTCCGCACGGAATACCGTCCTTCGTCATGGCGTCCCGAATTCTAGACCGCATCCCGGAAGCCCTCCACCCGCTTCTCGAACTCGCACCCTCGCAGTACTGCCAAGCCTTCTTCGGCATCCTCGGAGGCGGGTGCATCGCGCTCCAGATTGTTCCTCCTCTGCAGGACGCCCTCCTCGGGTACGGCGCGCGCAAGGCGCCGACCCCGCGGACGGGAAATCCGCGGCGACCGAGCCGGCGGACGCGCCCGAAACCGCGAGCTGGCCGGTGCGGCTCCTGGGCGCGGCGGGCTTGCTGACCCGCGTGCCGCACTCGTGGTTTGCGCATTTCTACGCCGCGCTGCTCTGCTTCCAGGTCTTTTGGCTGGTCCAGTTCGTCACCGGCGGGCGGATCCTGACGGCCATTGCCGAGCGCGAGGTCTTGCGCGGCAAGGGAAGCGGTGGCATGGAGTTGGGTCAGGTCGTCCTCGCGTGGGGTATGCTGACGATGCAAGGCGCTCGGAGGCTGTACGAGTGCTTCGTGGTCATGAAGCCCTCCGCGTCCTCTTCCATGTTGGCCGTGCATTGGGTCTTGTCCTTTCTGGTCTACGCGGTCTTGAGTATCTCGATATGGATTGAGGGATCAGGTATTTTCTCTCTCTCTCTCTCTCTCTCTCTCTCTCTCTCTCTCTCTCCCTCTCTCTCTCTTCCGCCACCTCTTATTTTAAGCGCTAGTTTGACATTTGTGAATCTCTAGATGCCATCCTTCACACATCCATGGCGGATGCGGACCTGGCACCGCCTTTTTGGACTCTGTTTCCTTTGGTCGCCTTCTCTATGGCGGGTAAGCAACAGCAGGGCGCGCACAAGCATCTTGCTAGCCTCAAAAATACACGCTTCCCACCGAGGGGCTCTTCCGCCATCTCACTTGTCCTCACTACACGTGCGAATGCCTCATCTACGGTACGTTGGCCGCCGTGGCAGCGCCTCGCGGAAGTAGCTTCAACGGCACACTGCTGGCCACCCTGTTCTTCGTCATCGCCAACCTCTCGGCTACGGCCAAGAGTACTAGGAAGTGGTATGTCGACAAGTTTGGGTCACAGAGGGTACCGCGATGGAGTATGATTCCGCTATTTATCTAGGCGCCTCGTGCGCGAAGTGGAAGAGCAACGTGGTTAGGTCTGTGGACCTACCTACGCCTCTCGATTTATCTTCGTCCAAAGATGTTGAGACGATTTCCCAACCGAACGACTTTTAAAACGTCGCGGTATGTAAGACTGATACGCATCTGTCTCTCGTTGCGTCCAGCCTCAAATGTTTCTTGGGAACCAAGAAGGTCCCAGTTTGCGACTGTGTGTTGAGAAAGATTTACGTCTTCTTTGACGTCGGAAATGCCGTGGAGATATTCGGTGTAAAGGTCATCCGTAGTTATGAGAAGGCTCCTTGGCTCCTGAAGAATCCGGTATACCGGCTCAGGATCTAGTGCGCCGTCTTCCTTGCTTCGATATAGATTTAAGCAGAGGCTCGAGCCAAGGCTTACAGTACACACGACAGGATGATACGCTGATCCGTCCTATGGGCGCATGAGTTTTGCGCTCCCGACGTTGCCCTTTTCTGGCATATATACTATATTCATCGACCAAAAAAACAAGAAGAAAGGGGAAGAAACCAGAGCTACGTTTGTTTGTGTACTTAACTTATGCGGCATGATGCCCACCCCGGGCGGATATTCGTTGATCAAGACATGATTAGGTTTTTGATGCGGGCTGTTTGAGAAGAGATGTGCTTTGGCGCCGGAATCACAGGCGGCGTCGGTGACGACGTCGGTATTGTAGTCGAGGGATAGGAGTCGAGAGATGATGGGATCTACAAGCCAGTGAGGCAGCGATTCGTCGACTAGAGCATTCTTCGCGAGGTCGGAAGGCCAGGTTTGGAGACGACGATGAGTTAGTTGTTTCCACCGCGGCCTCGGCGCGTGCGCGATCTATGTGGAACGGCGGCGTCAGCACGAAGGGGAACACGGGTGCCCCCTTCACACCGCATAAGAGGCCGGCCGACTCGTCCTCACCTTGTCCAGAAGGAATTGCTCCTCCTCCTCCGTGATGAAGTTGGGGATATAATACGCCGACGCTGGAAGGTTCCGGACCCTGGCAATTTCCAGAGACTGGGGTAAGGAGAAGGTCGAGGGTTGAGAAGATGGGGTGTCATCAGGCGAGGTCATCATGATGCCGGTCCGGGTTTATGCACCGGCGCAAAAGTTGGCTGAAGCTATGGTATCATTCAAGGGCTTCCCTTCCCTCCAAAGCTACCTTAAACAGGACAGTGACGATTATCAGCACGATGGATGCCTTAGGCTTCAAACACACACATCCAATCGCGTACCCGCTTCAGAGAGAAGTGGAACTGGGACTTGTGGCTCGTGGTGGCTGACTGGGAATCCTCGTGGAAATACTTCGTACTTCGTACTTGTAGCCCTGGTGTTTACTTCCTTCAGCTCAACAGTGTCAAGACGTATTCATGGGTATTCGCGCTTTCTGAGCTTTGACAGCCTGGCCAGACAACATTGGATCTGTCGCTAGAGAATTCTATCTCTTCTTGTCACAGCAGACTGGGGTTATCGACAAGTGGCGGGTGTTATTATGGGTCAAAAGTGTTTTGGTTCGCGTGTGCCAGGTTTGGTCTTGGTCCGTGGGTACGTACCCAAAGTACCCCGTCCAGGCTCTGATAGCGAAATTACGCGACAAAATGCGGGTTGCTGGCCTTCTAGAGTACATGGAAGGGTACTTCCCAGGCTGGTTCCCCTTGAACAGTCAGAGTCTGAGGACAGTCATGCCCCCAATGCCCCCTAGGCTCCAGTTGCCATCTCGTGTACCTCACCCAATGGGCCAATCATATGTGCAGCACTGGGGAGGAGATTCTTTGTTGATCTTCGCTCCCCCTTCTCCCCTTCTCATCTCATCTGCTGGTAGCGTGCACATCAAAGAAAGTAAAGAAAGGCATCGGAAAAAAAAAAAGAAATTGCGCTGACAAGGACAAGAGGGAATGGGCGGACGGAAAACGACGTGATCCTTCTGCGGGACCAAAGTACGAACTCGCGATTCAGCACAAGTGCCAATGTGGAGCATCGCGTAATACTTGGATGGACGGGATTGAGATAACTTTCCTTGGAGGTGCCAGGCAAAGGAAGACCCAGCAGGTTGATCCAAACCGACCAATCATGAATGGTCGTGTCTGAGTCTGACACTTGGGGCCTCTGACTCTGGCAAGTCTGGGACGTGGCACGGGGAGAGGAGAGAAGATGAAGGGCGAGACGGGCTTGACGGGCAAAACGGGGAAAGGACTTGGTACCTACGAGTACAATCCGAGCTAGTATCTTTTTGTCTGGATTTTGCAGTAGCTGGTGTCGCTCTTGAAATCTTTCCCCCAAAAGCCCCGTTTGTTGAAGAGAAGAGAGGACCGCCTAGTGTTTCCATTTCCATCGACACCAGAGGTCCAGCACTTCGAATTCATCCTCAATCCCCTCGCCCCCCAATTCCTTCTCGACTTCTCCCCGGGATCACGACTCTGCTGCGATCCGAATCGACCCCCTTCCCTCGACTGGTTTGCCTCGCCGCTGCATCGACTCTCTCTTTCTAACGATCTAGCCTCTTCCCTTCATCCCCCAAATTTGAACTACTGTCGCCTTCTCGTTCCACCGCGCAAACACTACGACCTCCTCTTGCAGTGCATCTCCAATCCCATTCGAACCAACTTTGGCCACATTACCAGAGTTAATCATCTCGACTCCAACCATCCGGCAATTCGCCTCCGTCTTTCCAATAAAGGGGGAAATTTTTCACATTCGTCCCTACATTTATTAAAGCAATTGTGTCCGAGTTTTTACGGGCCTGGCTCTTTGATTTCCATCTCTCGATCCATCATTTCTCGGGGTCTCCTCGATTTTTCCCTCCCCTTGGTCGTCTGCCCCTCGAGGACCTGGCCACTGCATCGCAATCAACCATCAATTAATCGCACGCCGCCCGCTCTCTCAATTATCCCCGTCTCTGAAAACGGCCAACTTGTGGCCCAGGATGGTGCTAGGTAGTAGATCATTTCCCAGATAAATGACATGGATGCGCAGAATGCTGCCAGGCCCGACAAGACGAAGCCTGCCCCCGCTGCTGCTGCGTCCGACTCGAACAAGCGACCTGATCATGTCCCCGACCACAAGCGCCCAGCCACCTCGGCCTCCGCCAAACCTGCTGTAGCCGCCTCTAAACCAACGAGCATTGCGGACAAGGATGCAAAGACGAACGCAAGTCCGTCCGCCGATGCTGGAGACGACCGCGGTACCGTGGACGGCGCGAGCTCCGACGCCGAGACCATCGTGCTACCGGGAAAGATGGCCACTCACCTTCCAAGGTTCGAAAAGTAAAGCACGAGAACAAGAGTGATGATGATATGCCATCTATTCCACGAAAGCATAGAGACCGTGATCGGGAGCACGTCGGCTCGCGGGATAGAGAAAGGGAAAAAGATCGGGAGCGGGAGCGGGAGCGGGATCGGTCCACCACTGTTGGAGCTTCAACAACTAATAGTGCTGCACCGTCACCATCTCTGAAGAAGAAACGGCTGCCCGACCGCGTCTCTGACAACAAACCATCGTTGCCCGCCCCAGGCCAACGCAACAAAGATGTGTCCGTATCTGCGCCAACCTCTCCGCCTTCAAAGCGCCGTAGGTCTGATGCGAACGCTCCTTCTCACCCCGACTCAGATTCTGACAACCCCGTCACCGATCGCCCAAAGTATCCAAGGACCGGACAAAAGCTGACAAGCTTATCCCCCATAAACGGAAGGCGCCCAAGGTGGAGTCTGAGGATGAAGAGGAACAACGGAAGGCACGGCGCCAGCGGACCGCTCCTGCCTCAACTGGTCCGTCTGGAGCCGACCCGCACACTCAGAAACATGGCAGAGAAGTACAACGTTCCTCAAAACCCTTTGACCAAACAAGCGCCCACGGTAGATCTGTCTCCCCACATCCTCGCCCTCATCGCCGCAGCGCTTCCACCCAGCTGCCGGCTCAATCCACGACTGGCTTGAGCCAAAAGAAGAAACGAGTCCCAGCTCCCCTTCAATCTACAGAATATCATTCCGACGAATCCTCTACCAGCGGCAGTCCTCACCCGAGGAGTTCCAAATTCCGGAATCTCGCCACACCTGCAACCGCGGACTCGAATATTTCTCCCGCCAAAATGGCACCTCACAAAAAGCATCTCGATGCTCATGGACAAACCTTCTTGGCCCGTGCTTGTGCACGTGGCGAGTACGAACAAGCGAAACAACGCTTGGCCGAGCGTCCCGAGGATCTGAATGTCGCTGATTATGCCGGAAACACCCTCTTCAAATCGCCGCCATCAACGGGTGTGAAGATATTGTCCAGCTTCTGATCGAGGCTGGCTGTAACCTCGATTGCGTCAATTATGATAAAGACACGCCCTTGCTTGATGCCGTCGACAATGGTCACCTGCGTGTTATCAAGCTCCTGCTCGATGCTGGCGTAAATCCTCGGAAAGCCAACGTGCATGGCGAGGAGCCTATCGACAGAGTCAACGACGAGATGGACAATGCCGGCGAGATCCGCACGCTTCTAACAGACGCGAGGCAGCGCATTGGAGACCGGCGGCGCACTTCCGAGGAACATCACACCGAGCGCGCCGAGTCGCGTCCGTCCCACGGCCCCGAAAGCCCGCGTCAGTCGCCAGTCCCCTCTTCGCACTTGGCGGCCGCTGCGTCGGGAAGGCGAAACACAAATGTGAGATCAACGAAGACTAGCAACCATCTGCTGTATATGCCGATGGACGACAAGACGCTACGCCAAGCTGCGGGCCGCGGAGACGAGGAGACAGTTACGCGCATTCTTCAAGTCCGGGATGGCTGTGATGATCCAGAGGCCATGGTCAATGCTGCTCGCGGCGGCCATGACCTTGTCATGCAGCTTCTTCTCGCGCTCGGCGGCGCTAATCCAGATCCTCCTCCGGTCACCAACGTGGCCCCCGATGTAGCAACCCCCATGTTGGCTGCGATAGGTCAGGAAAATATCAAAGTCATACAGCTCCTGTTGGACCAGAACAACTTTGATCCTACTAGGAGGTTCAAGGGAGATACCTATTACGAGATTGCCCGTCGCCGAGCCGGCCCGAACTGGAAGGAGGAGGAGCACATTCTACAAAGAGCCTACGAGGAATACAAAAATCCAGGACAAAGGATTCTTCCAAGAAATCTCCCAGTCGCAGAGAGCGCGAGAAGGAAAGGGAGGAGCGCGAGATTAAGCGCGCTAACCGGAACGAAGCTCGCGAAGAATCTACTCGATCACTCAAGAACACGGTCTCCAGTCCCGCAGGAGATACTGAGCCTAAAAGAAGCTTATTTCTTCTAAGACGACCTCGAGCCCCAAGGACAAGAAACGCACGGGCACGGAGCCGGCAAGTCGCCACGACGACCATACCTCACCCAAGCGTGGCCCAGGGCGACCTAAAAGAAGATCGTGTTCCATCAATCACCGTGTCCGACCGCGAAAACTCACCGGCTGTTCACAAACAGACCAAGGCGAAGCGGACCGAGTCTGACCTGGCAGCGGTTTCTTCCGAGGGTGAGAGTGCTAAGCCAAGAAGAAAGCTAATTTCAAAAGGCGAGCTGCGGAGCGAGCGTGAGAAGCACCGTCGAACAAGCCAAGTCTCTACGGGATCGTCGATAAAGGATCCAGCGAGCCCCCAGGAATCTCGAACCGAAGATCAGCCCGAAAAGGAAAAAGTGAAGGGCGAGAAATACCACGACCGGACCAAGGCCATTAAGCGAGACGAATCCAAAGACCGTCTCTCCGTTTCTGGCGACAATAGCTCCAAGCGGCACCGTTCTAGTGCTACCCCTCCTCATTCAGTTAGCGGCGACAAAGATGATACCGAAGTGCCAGCGAAACGCCGACGTCTCGATGCCGAGGGCAAGGAACGGAGACCGAAACTCACCGCTACATCCGCAGAAGATCGTCCGGCGAAATCTAGCCTTTCTCGCGAACAATCTCTTGCGCGGTCCATGAAATCGTCCAAGGTAGGCACCAAGATTCGCGACGATGAAGACAAGGAACCCAAGGCGAAGAAGACCGTTTCGGACCCTCACCGGCGCGAGTCGGCCAAGTCCACGTCAAGCGAAAAGTCTATCCACGTCAAGTACGAGGACGCAGATGTGGATATGGCTGATGCGCCTCCCGCAATGCCCACCGATGGCGGCGAAGCTAAACTTGGAAGTGGCAAGGTCAAAGATGGCCAACAAAATAGCCAGGACAAGAAGCGACCCGCTGACGATGCTGATATCGCCGCCAACAAAGAGGACAAGAAGCGACGCGATGTAGAAGAGAAGGAGCGAGAGCGCAAGAAGAGGCGAGAGGAGGAGGAGGCTAAGCGGAAGGAGGACGAGGAGCGGAAGCGCCGCGCCGAAGACGAGAAGGAAAGAAGGCGGAAGGCGGAAGAGGAGCAGCAGAAGAAGAAGGTGGAAGAAAAGGAACGCAAGCGCAAGGAAGAGGAGGAGCGGAAGAAGAAGCAGGAAGAAGAGGAGCAGCGGCGGAAGAAACAGGAGGAAGAGGAGCAGCGGAAGAGGAAGCAAGAGGAAGAGGAACGGAAGAAGAAGCAAGAGGAGGAGCGGAAGAAGAAGCAGGAGGAGGAGGAGCGGAAAAAGAAGGAAGAAGAGGAGCGCCTCCGCAAGGAAGAAGAAGAGCGCAAGAAGCGGGAAGAAGAGGAGGAGAAGCGACGTGAAGAAGAGGAGAGGAAACGTCGCGAGGAGGAGGAAGAGCGCAAGCGTAAACTGGAAGAAGAGCGCAAGCGCAAGGAAGAGGAGGAACGGCGACGGAAAGAGGAAGAGGACCGCAAGCGCAAGGAAGAAGAGTTGCGGAAGCAGCGCGAAGAAGAAGAACGTCTTCGGCGCGAGCAACTCGAGCGCGAGCGCGAGGTGGAGGCAGCACGGCGGAAGCGCGAAGAAGAGGAGCGCCGGGAGCGAGAGCATCGCGAACGACAACGAGCCGCGCGCGAAGCCGAGCAGCGCCGTCTCCGAGAGGAGCAGGAGCGGGTCAGGCTAGCGAAGCTCCCCTCTCTTGCGCTGGCTCGACGCGTGCCCCAACCCGAAGAGCGGAGAGGTTGCGCAAAAATTCAAGAAGATGCAGGGTATCCGATACGACACGATTCGACCAGAGGCAACGGGCGTAGCCGACGGGAGGGAGCAATGGGTCCTCAACACTCAGGTGGCCCTCCTGCTTGGCGAGAAAGACCTCAGTCTTTCCCGATGTACGTTGTCCCCGTCATGTCGACACATCCCCTAAACACCCTCTCTCGGGGCCGCAGCCCGGTCCAACGCTCTTGTATCGATCAAGGAATCTGGTGGCTAATCTGTGTTATTTTCATCTCTTAGATACGGCATGGGAGAAAATCCCAGTCTCGCACCTGGCGAAGAAAGCGATTTGGCGTGTTGAATCGGAGCGGTATTCGCTCGTTTCCGAAAGCATGTTCGAGCTCGGCCTACAGCTACCGAATTACTACGGCGATGGGGTTGACCCACAAAGGATGAGCTACAACGTCATTGAACGGCTTCGTGGCGAGGCTTGGGAAAAGTTCCTCGGCCTCGACATGTTTTTCGTCAAGGTAGGTTAACCATTTTCATTTTTGGGTTCCTGATCCGTCCTCCGATCCCCTTTAGAATAGGGGAACGGAAGGTTCAAAAATGAAGGGGAAAAAGAAAAACTTGACGAGTTTAGAGGCTAACATACGACGTTCTCGGCAGCTTTCCGACCTCTTGTTCATTGTGCCGACTATCCCCCACTTACGCGGCATTAAGCTCAATGTCGAGTATCGTGAACTTCCCGAGACGGAAAACCAACTCTGTGGGTGGAGAGCGCCGCAAAAATGGAGGCAGGACCCGGATGCGGATCGATTCCTCGGTTTCGCGCCTCGGAGCAAGTATTACGTCAACGGCATCCTGGTAGGGGAAGAGAAGCCCGGCCTCTCGGCAACCAGCAGCGAACCCTTTCCGGAAAAACGGGTACCACGCCGAAACGGATTTCAGCAAGTTCTCCCCGGTGACCCCGAGTACGCCCAGCTCTGCAAGGAGCAGGGTCTCGAGCATCTGTTGGCAGAGTCGCGTAGCGCAACATCACAGATGAACGGGGTCCCGGTCAACGGGCCAGTCTCTACAGCGCATGGCCCCAATGGGACGACTCACGCGGAGCCCGCGGCGATGTTGACGGGTAATGCTGGCGTGGCGGTGCCCAGGCATGATATCCATAGCCCTCAGCATCATCGGGCTCTTGTCAACGGAGTTAATGGCATTTCCGACTAAGCGGCCCGGGGCAGCAACCAAACCTCACCTCTTCTCGATATAAACCTTTCTCCTCCTTCTCCTCCCCTCCCCGTCCCCACACCCACCGCGCTTTTTTAACCCACGTTCGATGCAGGCTTCTCTGCACTCGGCGCTGTCTACTATATGTTTGGCATTGGGATCGGTATACAGGCATCAAGGCCCTCGGCGTTTACGTTGTTCTTCCTGTTTCATTGATTCTGCGTTTGGCTCTTCTCTGCCTTAAAATTAGGCTTTGCATCTTGCGCCCCGAAACGATACCTCGTCCTTGTCTGCCCTCTTTTCCTTTGCTTGTTGTCGTCCTTTGCTTGGCAGCCTTTCTTTACCGGGCACCTTGGTATTTCTCATCCGAGGTGAGAAGTCTGACCACGTTTGTCTGAGACGCTATACGAGAGCATGGACCGGGCTCCTCGTCACTCCTTTGTTAAAATTTCTTTTTCCTTTCCCTTTCTTTTCTTTTATCGAAAACTTCATTTGTACTAGGTATCTGGGCAAAGCAACGTCAGGGAGGGAGGGGCATGTCACTGCGTTTCTATTCTCTGAACGCGGACGAAGCAGATAGAGCGCTAGCCTCTGTTTCGTCTTGTATGCGTCGTGTGATGTTGTAGCATTTCGTTTTGTGAGTCAGCAGCAAGACTCTGGAAGCGAGGACTACTACAGATAGTGTGCAGACGTGAGATGGAGATTAGCGTTCGGGTGTGTATAAATATATATAAATATATATATTTACATGTCCATATGTGCTCATTATCTTTCCCAATCGATAGCAAGCGGTAAGTCGGCTCTGTGACTTTCAATGCTGTCTTGTTTGATAACTATACATGTACATGTAGCGAGAGGCGGCACCACGCCCTCCCATGCTAGACGATGAGACGATGGTCCACGAACGATCGAACATGAAGGGTGAGCATATCCGGCGAGGTTGCAATGTGGTGTCTCGAGGTTATCAAATCGCTAAATTCGATTTCAAGAGGGAAAAAAGAAATAAAAAAGGGATAAAAACGAAGAAGATGCGATTGAACGTTAGCACCAACCAACCCCACGCACAAGCACAACGACAGGACGAGTTGGGTGGGTGGGGGATAAGAATCTATTACACCAGACGAATTGGTGGAATACTAGATTGATATACCAAGTGCACCGGATGAGCGGACTCATCAGGGTTTCTTAGCCAGTGGGAGCTGGCGGGACTGGCAAGAGGCAGCTAAAATGCGAATGTGGTGGGGAAACCCCAGCCAAAAGGCGAGGGACGATCAAATTTGAATGGAATTGCCCGCGAGAGCTGACTACGTCAACCATCATTCGTAGGTTGCCTTTTTTGTGAGGTCTCGGGAGTGGAAACCACAACTTTTACCCCGCCAACTTTTTGTGCCCACTTCCGAACAAATCTCAAATCCCACATTTTCGACGACACGAACCGACCGACGACTACCGAGCGGACGACGATAGAACGCCTGCCCTCGCCCGCTTACGTTCAAGAAAGGAAGAGAAAAAGGACTTTGAAAAATCAAAGTCTAGACGGGGATTTCCGATTCTTAGATCCCCACCGACACCCACCGTGCCCACAATCTCGATAGCCACGGCCCACGTGTGCGCAGACAAAACGGGGAGAGCGAGAGAGAGATATATACCGGCCTGTTACCCATCAGTAAACCGAGAAGGCTGCCACAATGTCTACGACGGTAGATAAGGTATGTCCCATTGCTTCCCGCCGTCTCGCAGGGAAGGAGTGCAGTCGTGCGTCCCCTCCGTCGAGTGAATGATGCTAACCACATATTTCTCTACAATAGATCAAGGAGATCGAGGCCGAAGTACGTCAAACCGATCCAGTAGCCCCCTCGCCTTTTCCCTTCCTTCCTGTTTCCTTTCTTCCTTCCACATCGCCGCTTCCTACCCCTGCCCCCTCGTCGCCGGGCGGGAACCGAGGAGGGGTCCGATCACAGCCCGGAAAGTCGAGTGCAGGTGACGGTTTAGCGATCGCCGAAAGTGAAGCAACATGTTCTAACAAAGAGCACTTTGTCCGCTCGACCTACATCTAGATGGCCCGAACTCAAAAACAAAGCTACGGCATTCCACTTGGGTCAGCTCAAGGCCAAGCTTGCCAAGCTAAAACGTGAGCTCTTGACTCCGTCTTCGGGCGGTGGCGGTGCTGGCGCTGGCTTCGACGTCGCGAGGACTGGCGTTGCCAGTATTGGCTTCATTGATTCCCTTCCGTCGGCAAGAGTACTCTGATGAGCAAGCTGACTGGCCAGCACTCCGAGGCGGCTGCCTACGAGTTCACCACGTTGACTTCGGTGCCCGGTCAGGTTGTCTATAACGGTGAGTTCATCGGGAAACCACACACCCGGCCGCTCAGTCTACAATACTGGTCCCTCAGGCCTCGTTGTGGCGAGAAGATCGGGGCCGGAAAACACCCGGTGGGCTTTGACTAACCTTGCGTTGTCTGTTACCAGGCGCCCCGCTACAAATGATCGACTTGCCCGGTATCATTGAAGGTGCCAAAGACGGTCGTGGTCGTGGTCGTCAGGTCATTGCCGTCGCCAAAACGTGCAATCTCATCTTCATCGTGCTTGACGTCAATAAGCCTTTGTCCGACAAGCGCGTCATCGAGTCGGAACTGGAGGGGTTCGGCATCCGCCTGAACAAGAGCCCGCCAAACATCACCTTCAAGAAGAAGGACAAGGGTGGCCTCAACATCACGAGCACCGTCGCCCTCTCCCACATTGATCACGACGAAATCAAGGCCGTCATGAATGAGTACCGCATTGCTTCCGCCGACATCACCATCCGCTGCGACGCTACCGTCGACGACTTGATCGATATCCTCGAGGCCAAGAGCCGAAGCTATATCCCCGTCATCTACGTCCTCAACAAGATTGATGCCATCAGTATCGAGGAGCTTGATTTGCTCTATCGGATCCCTGATGCCGTGCCCATCAGCTCGGAGCACGGCTGGAATGTCGACGAGCTTATGGAGGCTATGTAAGTTGCGAGTCCGAGTCCGAGCCCACGCCCATGCCCACGCCCGAGCCTCGATGCGGGTGAACTCGTTGCCTGTCCCCTCCCCCTTTCTATAACCGCGCGTCTGAGCACCAGGCCGCATAACGCATTGTTCACATGGCTGACAAGTAATGCAGGTGGGATCGACTGAATCTGGTCCGCGTTTACACGAAACCGAAGGGCAAGATGCCCGACTACTCGTCTCCCGTGGTTCTGCGGTCGAACAAGTGCACCGTCGAAGATTTCGTATGTTGGCCTGTTCCCGTCCCCAAACCCTCGCCACCCCGCTGCTTCCTCCCGTTCATTTGTTTACCGCGGGTCATCCTCAGAGTCCCGCCTCGTCCTATTCCGGCCGTGGCTCGAGTCCGCTGTTGGCTCCCTGCTCAAGCCCACTTCGTGTACTGACGTGTGACTTCTTACCCCCATATAGTGCAACGCCATTCACCGCACAATCGTCGAACAGTTCAAGCAAGCTGTGGTGTATGGCAAGTCGGTCAAGCATCAACCCCAACGCGTTGGTCTCTCCCATGAGCTAGCCGACGAAGATATTGGTACGTACTATCACCGCCCCGAGCTCCAGGGAAAGGGTTGGGGGATGAACCAACACGAGCGAAAAGAGCCTCTCTTGGTCCCTTGATCCTCTCTCCTCGCTTCGCCTTTTCTTTTTAATTTAATCCTTTGGATTTCCGTCGCTGCATTTTGGTCTGCGTGGTGGGTTCGGAAAGACTAGGGGTGGGCGAGGAGCGATCTAGAGCATGTCCTGGGACGCACCCTCATTTTGTGTGTTTCAACAGGAGGAGCTCCTCATCACAATCGCCCGTCTCGCCCGTCCTTCCCCTCCTCCCCCTGGGAGATTGAAATCCACGCCATGCCAAAAATGCAGCATTTTCGGGGAGCTTGCCACGATTATGCGGTCTCGCCCGTAACACAAAATACTGACTGTACTTTCCTCTTTCAGTGACAATCATCAAACGATGAGCGACCTCGCCGTTCATTGGCGAAGCCCTTGGGAGTTGGGGGCAAAAGGCGCGAGCGCGAGCCTGGTTCCGATCTGATGTTCGCCTCAGTTCGGACCTTTCTTCCCCGACATGATACTACAAGTCTTTTCTTGTTGGGCTCGCGGCCGGCCCGCTCGCCTCCCTCCCCCCCATCTCCCCTCCTTCCGACCCCCATGCTTGATCGCTTAGATAGGAAGGGCTCCATTTATTGAAGAGAAAGTGTGTGGTACACTCCCACGAATGATACGACGAATGACAGAAGATGAGAAGTGTCTACGGCTTGTAGGTCTATTTGAGGAAACATTGGTATTGGGCAAGGGTTCCTGACGCAACTGAGTGTGAAAGAGAGGAGACGGGCCGGGGAGATGCGGAAGTCAGGTGGAGGAAGAGAGTTGGAGCGGGAACGCAACCTGAAGAGTTGGCGTGCAAACAGCTTTTGGACAGATTCGGCAAGTCGAGCATTCAGGTACGGAAGAGCATGAGAGGAGCATGAGAGGAGCATGAGAGACATGGATACAACACGGGTACTTTGTGGTTTTTTTCTTCTTCTTACCTTTACCCACCCCCTGGGTTCCTCCGAGGCGGTTGAAGGCGTGGTTTTTCTTCCTTCTTCCGCTTCTTCTTCTTCTTCTTACTTTCTATTGTCGTTGCTTTTCTCCATCTATTTCCCTCACTCTTCCTTTGGTTGAAAGGACCCAGGACGGTCGTTTCCTCCCCACCCGGGCACAGGCGTTCGTTCCTGTTGGAGAGCCAAGAAGAAGCAACTACAACTGCCAGCAACTTTTTTCCTTGACCAACAGGGTGTGTGGAGGCATGAGTTCGCCAAATCTCTCATCGGACGCTGCGAGTCCGGTACGAAGCCCGTTATAGGCATGACCAGGGACACCTGCCAAGAGGAGGGCATGTCGGCACTCGACCTAAGAATAGACAAGGAGCCTGGAAGTATCTAGTGTACACTAGGGAGCTGGGAGGAAGGGAAATGCTAGGACAGAGAAAGCAGGGGGTTCTTCTCTTATGTCCTCTCTGCTCTTCAAGAGCGAGAGCGAGGGGAGGAGCAAACGAGGGAGATGAGAGAGATGGAACCCCTTCCCCAGAGTACGAAGTACGTACAAGTATGCGCAGAGAGTACAAAATGACAAGAAAGCATAATCTTTATGTATATCCATATAGGTACGCAAGTACGTTGCTGGTGTGGGCGTGGATGTGGGCAGCAAGGTTGTGTGGGAATGGCATAAACCGATCAACCAGGATATGGGATATGAGAAAAGTGTCGCTCCGCGTGGATGTGTGGTATCGACACGTGTGTGTGTGAGAGAGAGAGCCTGAGAGAGAGGGAGACAGTATGAATGCGTGTGAACGATCCCTGGATGTTATTCCGAGGCAGAAACCAGAAGTGGGCTTGGGCTCGAAACGGAAGGGGAAAAAGCAAATATGCGCACACAACGATGACCTGCCCTTGTCCTCCCGCCCTTTCTCAGTGCATTCCTCCCCCTCCCCCAGTGCCTCCCTGCTGGGGAACTAGAAAAACTTGACGGCCTGGCATTATCGAACTAGGATGGAAAGGTGAAGAAGAGGAAAAAGAAAAGAAAAAGGCGCGGAAAAAGAAGGCGAAAAGCAAAAGACGACCGGGAAAGAAAAATGAAGTTGCAGAAGCTGGAGGGAGTCCTCCTCCAACCAGACTCGTCCCTAGGCTCGCGCGAAACTGTTCAGCCCGAGAGAGACGAAAATCTCGGTATGCTTGTGGGGCACTCCCCGGGCCAAGATCTCGGTTGTTCCTATCCATCGCCTCGCTCCAGGTCATCTTCATAATCTTCTCAGCTTGTGAGATATTCCATCCCAGCCCATCCCAACGTCGTTAAACGAGAGCTGGGGCGGCTGCATAGGGCACTTCACCTCTCACTCTCGTGCATGGCCGTCGCTAGTGTGTCCAGGAGGTGAGCGAGCTTCGTGTGTCTCTTTTATTATTAGTATGATCATTATTAGGAGAGGACGATCTATATCAAGAAGGGGAGACCATCCAAAGAATCCTCGACCTAACAAAAGGCCATCGTATCTCCCGTGCTCGACATTCAGCTTCGAGCTCAGCTGCATTGGCTGAATGTTGAGCTTTCAGATGCCCCGCTTGGCCTGTGACTTCTCCCTTCTATTCTCGTTTTTCTCTCTTTCGGTTGCCTTCCCCCTCTTCTTTCTTTTTCCTTTTTGGCCGTGGTTTCCTTCGCCCCGAAGGCCGAAGCTTTCCAGGATGATCATTCTCTTTCTCTCAACATGCTCCCGAGCCTGCCCGGCGCCTTTCCCGGGAGGCGCATTGGAGATCCTTTCCTTCGTACCCCTTTCCGAAAGCCCGTCCCCCACGCCCCTCCCAAGTTGTCCGACCATTCTTGTCTCCTTCCTCTCCTTTTTGTTTCTTTCTTTTAAGCCTCCTTATTTCACCCAGAATTTCGAAGTACGTAAAGATCGGCTGGGAAGCTAGGTGTAAAAGCGAGAGGGGCTTTGGCCGATGTCTGGGATCGAGCTTTCTGATAGTGAGGCCGTGGCGTCTTGCAAACCAGCCTGTTGATATTGTTCAAGGGGAGCATCCGTCGTGGACATTATCGTCATGTGCCACGCCAAAGAAAATACAATATGCTCTCTTGTGCCTCATATGCACCTTGTCTTCACCTGTCTGATCATCTCTGGCCGACGACTGGCCGCCCTATTGCCCAGTCATCCCTGATCCCTGGGGCGGAGGACTTAGACGCACAGAGAGTGGGAAGGGGAGGCATGGCACGGAGCACAAAACAAGGCAACCAGGCCTCCTGTGATTCCTTTCCCGCTGCCCGCCATTCCTTAGTGTAGGTAGTGGCCCACCGAACCGCAAAGCGTCGCCCATGATATTAGTTTGCGATGGTAGGGACGACAATGATAGCCTTTGTTGCACACGACGCCTGACTAGGGAATGGTACTTGTATGTATGATGTCCTTGCTTGAGGGAGGATTAAGAATATACTTCGTAGCAGCTCCCGAACCACCCAACTCTTCCCTATACCTCGGTAGAGGCATGACTTTTCGGCCAAGGATGTGGCGGATCAGACAGATAATTATTACCTTCGAGCACTTTCGGGCATACTCCCGTCTCAAGATGGGCTCAACTCCGGAAGGTGAGCTCTCCTCGTCGGCTTGTACTGTTTTGCGCCCTCGTCGCCGAAGGGAGGATCAATGCGTGGGATGGGGACATCCTTGTTCTCACAAGAACGAAAAGCAGCTAGCTTCCCTTTGGTCTGGTTTTGTTCTGTGGAGAGCTGGGGATCACCTCAATTCCCCCATAAGCTCCGGTGCACTGCAGGGGCCAGGGTCAAGAGATCAAGCACCAACAAGGGTTGGACGAGGCCCTGGTGTATCACTTTCCACCAAGGAAGATAGAGATGTGGCGCGCCAAACAAAGGAGAAGAAAAAAGGAATTGTGCTGTCCATCGAGAAGAAAGGGAAGAAAAAAGCACAGAAGGTAAAAATTGTCCCTTCCGAGGGCTTCGGGAAAAAGCCGCCATCACTACGTCCACCACGGAGCAAGGCACCAGATCATTACACCGGTGATGAAAGGGGCAACCTGGTGCGTTTTAAGTGCAGGCGTGGCTTGGTTCGGCGTCCCACGCGATGGCTCCTCCAGGTACAAAAAGCGCTTCTTCACGGCGCGGCCGGATCAGGCTTAAGCCTTCCCTCTCGAGGAGTGCTTTTTCGCACACGAAAACTAGGCGTGGTTCGCCAATCTGCTCAGATATACATTGACCGATAAAGCTGTCGCGGAGCTAGGCGAAAAGTTCCGGCCAAGGTTGCGAAGAAGAAAAAATGACAAACCATATTAACTCTCATTGCAAACTGGGCAGGGGGTTGCTTGCTGCCCGATGGAAATCATACGACGCTGATTGCTATGGGCATCCTCCGGCGCTCAGAAGCTTGAACGGGACACTTGCAAGCGAAAAAGGACCATTATCCGAGTGTACTTGTTATATAGGGTCTGGTCCTGGAAAAAGAAATCGTCTGGTGTGAGGAGCTTGGCCAGCCCAGTTCCTGCTACCGCTGATCTCCCGAAACCGGCAGGCTAACTGGCTGGTGGGAAAGCTGGCGCTAAACACTCGTCCCCTTGAAACCCATGCTCTGGTTCGCGTGCCTGGGCAGCTTCGAAGCACGTCTTCAGACTAAATCGCGGGTGGTGCGGGCCATTCCACTTGCCATCCATGTCAAACCCCAGCCCACCTCCACGAATGCAAAATCCAGGAAGAGGAAGGAGGAGAGGATATAATGCCCGAGTGCGCAACCTCGAGTCGCGCGTAAACTCGGACTCGCTTCCCTCAGAGATCCTTGAAACCTAGTCGGTTGGTTCTGGCGCTAAAGAACATCTTAAATGATGATAGAGCCGAAAGGAGCTACTCGTAAATAGCAAGGAGGGTTCGAGACCAACACACCTTTGGTGTTATCTCCCAGGGGCATAGTCCGCCTACCAGCCATTCAACAAAGCCCAAGGCCAAGTTACGACCTTGATGGGGGCAGTGATCCTTATATCCCAAAGCGCGCTAACCAAAAGCGAGGATGGTTGGCGAGCGGGAAGAATTCAGTCGAGGATTTTAACTCATCCTGCCTGTGCATGGCAAGAGGTGGTGCGTTTTGGTTGCCTCGGTGCTGTTGGGGTCGACTACCCGTAGTGCAAACGAGATACCCACCCACCCCACTGCATCTTCTTCCTCATCTTTTTGCCCTTACAAGTAAGTGTAATAAAATAATAAAGTGGCCATAAACATGTTAATTCTCACGCTTCCACGCTGTGCTGCGAGGTCACAATTGTACAGTCGCGCTGACCTGCATTGCCGGGCCTCTCCTTATGCGGCCATGTTGAGTGTTGGGTCAACCCCAGAGTCCAGAGGATAGGGGTGGAAAAAATCATGTATCTCGTCATCATACAGTACCCAGATCAATCCGCATGCCTCAGCTCGATCGCCTGTCTCTCTCCGACGACCACAGGGGCCGCCCGTTGGCCTGCGTGAAGGGGTGCGTAAGAAATGATGCGGGCCAGGCGAGACCAGCCCAGTTCAAGGTACCGTACCAGTGAACCTGCGTCCCTCAAAGGACATCACCTCGTACCTTGACGCCCATCAACCCCAATTGCAGTCACTTGGCCAAACTCTCAGCAAATTTCGGGGGCCTTTCTTCTCGTCTCCAATTCGGGAGGCAGATGGTACAAGGTCCAAATAGAGTAAATGACAGCGCCTCTCGGCTTAACTACTCTTCGATGATAATAGCTTCGGACGAAGAAAAACGAAGAAAAACAAAGGCGCGTGGCCTCGAAGATTGGTTTTTGTTCTGCCTTGCTCAATAGACAATAACATTCCGATGTACTGGGGCAGGTGCCATATGAGACTAGAGTACCTAAATGTCGGGAAACATCCTTCAGATTCCAGTCCAACGCAACGAAGAGCGGGATCACGTCTCGTCCCGCTATAAACGGGCCTTGAGTGCCGGGCCAGGGCAGGGAAGCCAGTTAGTCCCACGCCAGAGCACGTTGTGCCTGTCGATGCCATCTCTGTTCCCTTTGCTCAGCCGTCGAACGATGCAGGCACGGGAGGAGGTAAATGCGCCTAGGACCCTGGCCTCCCCCGTTCGATGCTATCATCGGTTGTGATCGGTGAGGCACAATCTCTTGTCAAGGGACCAAAGCCTGCAGCGGGGACTAAGGCAGGACGGGTGATGAAATGGCGGACCGACGACGACACTCAAGTGATGGCGGACCTGACCTGGAACTGGTTCCGATCGGCCCCTACGAACGGGTATGTTCCCTTCAAGTCAGAGAAGTTGGACAGTGGAGAGAAGGATCCCGGCGATCCTGCTCTCCTTCGGACGACGCACGATGCCAGATGGGATAACGAGAGATGGCAAAAGCAATGCCAAGGCGACAGTCGAGGGAGGAGGCTTGCAATTCGAT